TGCTGTCTTGGTGACTGATTGACTGATTGACTGACTGACTGACTGACTTACTGACTGACTGACTGACTGACTGACTGACTGACTGACTGACTGACTGACTGACTGACTGACTGAATGACTGAATGACTGAATGACTGACTGACTGAATGACTGAATGACTGAATGACTGAATGACTGAATGACTGAATGACTGAATGACTGAATGACTGACTGACTGACTGACTGACTGACTGACTGACTGACTGACTGACTGACTGACTGACTGACTGACTGACTGACTGACTGACTCACTCCTTCGACCTTTTGTACATTAAAAGTCGCAACACCAGGAAGAATGGGGCGAAGTCACTATCAGCTATCAGTGTACCATACCCGCCACGTAATCTCAAAAGACGCAATCGAAATATAAAAGCGGAGGCTTTTGATTCTCCTGCAAAAATGGTAATGCGCATACTACTCCTACTGTAATACCCTATTGCTTCTTCTACATTTAGTACTAGCTACAAGATTCAGCTGGTACTATCTACTACTGTAGGTGCTGCTGATGGGTGCTAGCTGGAAAATGTGGAGTAGCACTGCCGATTTGCAGCACACAAAGTTCTGCTGCTGTGCCCGGCTGCTGCTTGCACGATGTACAACTTTATATTTCAATGAAAAATTTTACAGTCAAGAGAGAAGAACAATATGAGAATATGATAGTGTGGTACCTACTAGCACGGTACAGTAGTTGCCGGCACCAGAAATGGTATTGTACACTATTTGTAGTGGCCCGAATCGTTGACTGTTTTTGCACCGCCTTTTCGATCACTGTGAGCCACAAAAACTTACGTGAGTGTCACATCTCATGGAATTCGGGGGAATTATTTACTAGGTAAGTGTGCATGTAGTATTTTTAATGTGGTATTGTGTGTTCTATTGTTAGTCGTGTTTGCGGGATATAAGAAATATCTGTTTTAGGAGGTTTTCTAACGTTTCTTGCTACTAGCTACCGGCAGTTACAACGAGCCCGAAATGTGTGAAAAATTGACTCTTTTTGCGTCACCTTTCACTTCATTCAGAGACATGATATATAGAAATGATGCTGTGAACTTGGTCTCACTTGCGCCACAACCTGTACTTCTAATTCATTCCTTCAAGTTCCCATCCGAACTGTGAATGAGAAATTCGTTCCTGATCAGTTCCATATCTCAATCATTGAGGCTGTAGGTACTATATTAGGCTTAGTTACAGAAACCGTATGTTATACATAGTAAATGACAATGTTTGAATATACACTTGAAGCAGTACGTAGTCCTAGTTGGTCAGGGAAAGGAGAGTAGCAACTCTCTGAACTGACCTTACATGCTTAAAAGTGTAAACTCCCATTACATGTTTCGGTTTACTGGTATTTGTTAGAGTCCATTCCTTGCACACTGCACTGCGTGTGTTTCACACAGGACTGTGCCAATTCCAAATATTCGAACAAATCAATCCGAGCGCTTCTGATCAACTGAAACCCTGTACCTAGATTGTGGAATTTGTTGCAGATGAGGAAACTGCTGTATCGTACTGTAGTGGACTTGCTTGATTGGTGAAGGGGAAGGGGAAGGAGCGATACCAACAGTCCAACAATCGTAACAGTACCAGGTATTGCTTGTGTTGAAACAGCTCTCTCTCCTCTCCATGAAACAGAATCCGGTGGGAGTTGAATACCAGTACCAAAACCATTTTACAAGCTTCCAGGTGTGTTCTACTTCTATCAGTTTGCTTGTCTTCTGATCGGGAACAGGAGATATCAATCGTTGAGGTTTTTTTTAAAAGGGAGAAATATGGTGTGGTAGGTGGTAGAACAGCTCTTCTACCAAAATCCGGTTTCAAAATATATAGGGTCCTAGCCGCTGGCCGCAAAAGGGGTCCTGGGAAAGCGCCAAGTAAATTTCGCTCCGCTTCCAACATCCGATGAATAATCCTGACGAATCTGTGTTCGCGAAAGGGTTTCGGCTAACAGTGTTTCGCAAATTGCTGTTATTAGTGACTGGCACAATTAAGGTTCTAGCGTTAGAAACAGTAGAAAGAAGAGGAGTCAATTTTACATTTTGCGAATCAATCGCGCTTGGTATGGGTTCGACTTCGATTTTGTGTACTAGAATTTTCCTTGAAGCTCGAACATCAGCGGTGAAATGACTTGGGTTACGGTGTCTCTAATCAATCTGAAAGGAACCCTTTCACAGCTCCTATTTGGGAAAGGCCATTCAATTCCTGCCTAGGTTCTTCGTACGACAAGAAACGAGAGACGTCGTCCCAAATGCGCTAAAACAATCTGAAATCACTTTCGAACTTTTTCACTTCTGCTCATAAATTATTGTTTAGCCTAAAGTGAACTGAACTTAACTGAACTTAACACTCAATGACAATGACAATGCAACACCAAGTAATTCAAGATAACAACTTTGCAGTCGCCATGATTGAAGAAGGCGCTTATGACGAGGCATCTTCCACGCTGTGCGCGGCATTCCAAGCGTACCAGAACTGTGACTGTGCTGGCGGCATGGAGAGTGCAGTATGTGATGCTGGAGTCTCCTCTTTCAAGCCTTCCATCAGCCTCGATGAATGCATGGCGAAGGGACATCCAATGAGCTCCTCCGTCGACCCGGACTTTCCATTCATGTACTCTGATGCCATTCGCATCTCTCCCGAGGTTGCTGCGGCTGGAATATCACAACACGATGTTACCTCCATCATTCTATTCAACCTGGCACTGACCCACCATCTCTCCGCTTTGGATTCGAATGACCCTGATTCGGATCTTCAAAAAGCTCTGCATGTATACGAACACTTATATACCATGCAACAGGAGAACATGGTGGTGGGGAGCTCTGGCTTTCCATCGAATCTGATGTTCGTTCTCTCCATTTTGAACAACTGTGGTATCATCCATCAATGGCGATCGGAAGCTGGAACATCCATCAATGGCGAAGTGATTGCCGCTCGATGCTTCGATAAGCTCTTGTCAGTCCTGACGCTCATTTCCGACAACGCTCAAACCACAAACAAGAACGAAGAAGTTGTCGTTCGCGGATTCTACCGCAACGTCGTTCTGAATCGGCCACCCGCTGCAAGCGCTGCCTAGACCGTTCTGATTCTGATTGGCGCTACATATACTCAGTTTTGGGATGTCGATACTATAACCCTTCCTATTTTTTAAATGTAACATGTATAATACCGTAAGACCTATATTTTAACATGCTTTATATACGATACTGAACTAGTGCGATTGAACACTCTTTGCGATGGAGGTTAGGATAGTAGTACCAGTACTACTTATGAAGAGTGCTCCCCATCATAATGCATGTCACACAAGAATACCGCTACTCTATTATCGTATCAATCATGATCATCATGATGATACAAAAGAACCTGGTGCTGGTGATGCCACAACAACTACTGTTACTGTTACCGGTACCGGTACCCAGAGTGGCAACCGAGTTGAAGTACGTTGTTACCGCTGATGCTGTGGGTCCTCTCGAAGATTCTTCTTCCAGCACTTTTGATCATGTGTGAATGGAGTATCACTGTAGGGGAATGGAATTGAACTTGGGGGTATTGAAGTTACAGTTGATGCCACAAGAACAACTATGATTGAAGAAGGCGCTTATGACGAGGCATCTTCCACGCTGTGCGCGGCATTCCAAGCGTACCAGAACTGTGACTGTGCTGGCGGCATGGAGAGTGCAGTATGTGATGCTGGAGTCTCCTCTTTCAAGCCTTCCATCAGCCTCGATGAATGCATGGCGAAGGGACATCCAATGAGCTCCTCCGTCGACCCGGACTTTCCATTCATGTACTCTGATGCCATTCGCATCTCTCCCGAGGTTGCTGCGGCTGGAATATCACAACACGATGTTACCTCCATCATTCTATTCAACCTGGCACTGACCCACCATCTCTCCGCTTTGGATTCGAATGACCCTGATTCGGATCTTCAAAAAGCTCTGCATGTATACGAACACTTATATACCATGCAACAGGAGAACATGGTGGTGGGGAGCTCTGGCTTTCCATCGAATCTGATGTTCGTTCTCTCCATTTTGAACAACTGTGGTATCATCCATCAATGGCGATCGGAAGCTGGAACATCCATCAATGGCGAAGTGATTGCCGCTCGATGCTTCGATAAGCTCTTGTCAGTCCTGACGCTCATTTCCGACAACGCTCAAACCACAAACAAGAACGAAGAAGTTGTCGTTCGCGGATTCTACCGCAACGTCGTTCTGAATCGGCCACCCGCTGCAAGCGCTGCCTAGACCGTTCTGATTCTGATTGGCGCTACATATACTCAGTTTTGGGATGTCGATACTATAACCCTTCCTATTTTTTAAATGTAACATGTATAATACCGTAAGACCTATATTTTAACATGCTTTATATACGATACTGAACTAGTGCGATTGAACACTCTTTGCGATGGAGGTTAGGATAGTAGTACCAGTACTACTTATGAAGAGTGCTCCCCATCATAATGCATGTCACACAAGAATACCGCTACTCTATTATCGTATCAATCATGATCATCATGATGATACAAAAGAACCTGGTGCTGGTGATGCCACAACAACTACTGTTACTGTTACCGGTACCGGTACCCAGAGTGGCAACCGAGTTGAAGTACGTTGTTACCGCTGATGCTGTGGGTCCTCTCGAAGATTCTTCTTCCAGCACTTTTGATCATGTGTGAATGGAGTATCACTGTAGGGGAATGGAATTGAACTTGGGGGTATTGAAGTTACAGTTGATGCCACAAGAACAACTATTGAGTACGAGTACGAGTACAAGTACCGTGGACCGTGGCACCGGGTGCCGCCAGATAACCGAGAAGGGGGGAGGCATGTTACAGCTCAAGATTGATCTCAGTGTTTTTAGCCCTCCATGAATCAATCGAGAGGGCGGGAGACATCTGACACCGCAGTCTTGGTATTGAACTTCTTGTTTCACAATGGTCCCGCAAGTCAGTCAGTCGAGTCGAGTCCACTAAGCACTATACCAGTACCTAACTACGGAAGGCGGAACGTTACTGTACAGTACAGGAGGTACTTTACAGCGCATGATGCTGTGGTGGAGGCGTCAAGGGGGAAGTCTCGACATTAATGAAATTGTATCATAATACAACTATCGTAATAATACTTGGTACGAATATCATCCAAGAAGAATGAAATGGCCATCTGCAGCTGGTACTGGTAGTCTTCGCCTTTGAATCATAATCATCATCATTATTCTTGAATTTCTTAGTATTGAAGTTGTAGTACAAACACCTGGTACGAATACCGGGTACCAGTACCACCGGCACCCAAGAAGGAGTATGTTACAGTTCAAGATTGATTCCAGCGTTTTTAGCCCCAAGAGACACGAGAGCATTTGGTATACGATATGATACGACACGATAACGATACCGCAGTCTTGGTATTGAAATTCGTCTTGAAGTCAGTGGTCCCGTGGATGAGTCAGTCAATCGAGTGAGTCAACTAAGAACTATATCAGTACCATACCGACCAAATATCTTCTCATTTTGAAAGAGATCGAAGTGTTCGCAGATTGAAAAAATCAACCGTTGACAGAATGACCTCAAACAGCACCTCTTGCCTTGTGGGGTATTCTTCTACGTAGTCTTCAGTATGTTACTATGCGTATAATTCAGACATCTTTTCCGGGATTGGACCAAGGGTGAAAAGAAGGCGTGTAAGGTGAGCCTGAAACCCAGCTGGTACTCGTACTGCAGCAACCAGCTGAAGCCGACAGTTCAGAACCGATACTCGTACTGAAACGATAATATCCAGAGCAGCAAAGAACGCAAAAGAGGGCCTTCACCATCATTTCTATCATCGTATCATCGTATCATCGTATTAGTAGTCATAGACTTTTAATCACGTTGAAATAAGAGGGTTTCCTGAAGTCTCTTGAAGTTTCCTGAAGCGTTTCACAATAAAATCTGATATCTGATGCGCCGGAGGCAAAAGATATTAGACAGAGTTGACGAACAGATTTCAAAGATGAATGGAGGAACTACCCTGAACATAAACGCGCGAAAGGATGGAAAACTTGATCCTGAATTAGCAAAGAAGATAGACCGATGGCTGATCAGCTTTCGTCGTTTGGATCCAAGATATAAAATTCTGAAATTCTTCAATCAAGTGGCATCGGAAGGTGCTGATGACTTTGTTGACGATGATACAGGAGATGAAGGCATCACTGACTGGGAATTGGGGGGCGGAGAGGAAGAGATGCCCGATAAACGGGAGAGTGTTCTTGTCAGACTGAAGAAAAAGATTGGAAACTTGTTTGACAAATCCAGTATTCTGACAGTATGGCGACCGTGCAGCAATGATGCCATGAGAAAGATGATGGAAGGCACTGGCGTAGGCAAAGGACTGGATATCAAGGGCAAATCAGCAAAGAAAGGTATTCTTAGTGCCTTTGTTCCCTTTCTCCAGATCAGTGAAGAAATGGATAAAGCCAAGATTATGCCCATTGCATATTCATCGAGGTTACGGGTCTATTATCATAGCGAGGCTGCGCGAAAGGAAGTCGTCAAAAGGATGAGAAATTTTGCAAAGTTTCACGAGGATTCGGAAGACTTAGATCTTGCTTCAGCGTCTGATCAAATTGAGGAAATGGAAATGCTGGACAAGTTTGCGCCAGAATCGTATGGAATTGAATTGGGAATGAGACTCTTCTGGACTGCGGTAGTCGTAGCACAAAACATTACTCGAACCGATGACAGTACAGATGGAACTGCCACTGGAAGAGCATCCTCGCCTGGTTTTCAAGATGCCAACAATGACACCCTGAAGAAAGCAACCAAAGCTGCCGCAAGTAATCCAAACTCAAGTGCACCAATACCCGTTCTGCTCCAGTATGATAAAGAGAAAGCCATGCGACCACAGACCTTACTTATTGCTTACGAAGAGAATGGAAATGTAATACCCGTGGTTAGTGATTTCGATTGCTTCTTACTTGGTTGGCGAAGAGAAGCACTTTGGTTCGGGTGCAATCTACCGAGAGAGCAAGAAGATCTTATGATGTGGGAAGTCGATAAAATTGAGGAAGTTCTTAGCGATTGTCATATGAGTCCAGACCCTTGGACAATTCGATGGCTAGACATAAAGAAGGATGCCCACCAAGCTGGAATCAATTTCGATTCTCCACCCTATGGATACGGTGATCCCAAGTCGTATGGCATCATGGAAAAAGCCGCCTCGAGGATGAAAGACACGGGTGCTGTACGGCACGGTTCGGAATGTTTCAACTATGGTTTTCCTCAAGAGATTGACGAAGATTTCTTGTTGGTCAGTGATACATTAGATGGTGTCCCTTGGAGGTACCTCGATGTCGAACAACTTCAAAGCTTACTGATTGAAAAGCTACAGGAAGGTTTTGTATTTCCTTTGAACCCCAAGTGGATCCTATGTGATCCAGGTTGGAAGGACGTGTACGATACCTTGATGCAATCAGATGCTTTGTACGCCGACACCTGCCGCGACGTTTGGTATCCAACCAGCCTCGGAATACGACAACGGATCGAGACTATTTGCCAGAAACATCCACGAGGGTTCCAGCGTGCAAGCGGTAAAGTCTCCTTCATCGCTTCCAAGGGTTACTCTCCGCTGAGACAAGCCTTGGACGGTGGCGCAGAAATGTCTGGAAATGCCTACTTCGAACTCGCAGAATTGGAGTTGGAGAATTATTATTCACGAAAGAACACATTATCAAGACAGATAGCTCTTGCAACAGAACCAGATGAAAGTGAAGAAAAAGACGACGACAAGGCATCAGCTAGCAGGGCGAAAAGACTGGAATTATATAGACGGGACAAGAAAGAGCTTGTCAAGATGCGGAAAGAAGCAGAAGACATAATTGAACTGAAAAACTCGGGTCATATTTCTGAAGTAATAGACAGAGAAGTAACAGCCGGAAGGATGCCAGGAATACAATCGGAACGACCCGCTGCTAAGCCGCGGTCATCAAACTTAAAAGGGCGTCAACCGAATCATTCGACGAGGTCTCCAAATAGGCCGTCGAAGTCTCCCTTGGGAAGGGGGAAAGCAAAATTGTTAGGGTTCTTGCGCACGCACAAGGAGGATGAAGAGTAAAGCAGACATAGCATACGCTATCTTTTCCCTCTCAAACTAGTTCTCATATCATAGTTCTTGGTTCAAGGCGATTTGATGTTGTTCTCCTTTCTCTGCAAACGGCATGCCTGTCACTTTAATTTCGTTCACCAAGCTTTGGTAGGTTTTGCTTTCTGTGGCACTTGGCAGACTTAACACTAGTACTTCCCCGGCAGCAATATTCTTTGTAGCAACAAGTTCCAACAAGACGCCGGCACTATCATTGCCTTCTTTGGCACTAATCAGCATGCGGCAATTGGTAATACCGTTTTGTTGCTGTTCGGCGACACGTCGAATCATTCCAATGCTTCCCGAAGCGGGGAAAATAGCAATGTCTTCCAAATTGGATCCTTCTAATAAATCAACGCGGTGCCATTTTGTGTCAGGCCCTTGATACTGGAGCTGAAGTTGGCCACGCTTTCGGAGATCCAACAGTCGTGCTCGGTCCGTTGGTGCCAAGTCTTGATAGGAAACAGCGATGGGTTCGAGGATGCTACCTTGCAGCAACTTTTGTGACATCAAGAGTCCGGTTGATATTTCAATGCGCTGGCCACTGACAATATCAACTTTGGCTCTCGCTTCTTGGTAACCAGCGTCCCATGGCGGAAGATAGGATGGGTCGAGATGGAATCCAACAACTTCTTTCGGAGGCAAGATGGGTAGTATCCGTCCTTCCCAGGTGGGTCGTCCTATACCACTGTTTACTTTTGAGCAGTATTCTTCCAGAATGTCTTTACTAAGTGGCATCGTTTGGCTCGTTTCGGGATATCGAAGAGGTATTCTCCGAATCTCGAACCAATCATTGTTCTCCTTGTTGCCGTAGTGGGAAAAGAGTTCCTCTCCAGCTCGAATGAACCTTTTGGCTCGAAACCCCACTGCATTGCTAGCATTAGGGACATCGAGGGCTGGCTCTCTCCCAAATGCCGTGTATTCCAAATTGGGTTCCGTCGGATGAGAGTTGAAAATCATGGACATGCCAGTCAGAACTCCTAGCATTTCTTCCAATCGAATCTCGGGAGTGAAGTGCACTCTGTGATATCCATAAATATAGTCATCTAGAACAGAATTCTCGACTTGAGGACTTGGCTTGGGCATTGGTAAGATCAGAGACGCCAGGTCCACGATTTCTCCTTCCTGGAAGGATCGCCCTGCAAAGACTCCCCAACCCATGGCTGTGGACAGAGAAGGTGCCAAGAAGGTGCTGCACCCTTGCCACACCTTGTCAGCGCCGTCATCTTCATGTGCTGTTATGTCTGACAAGAAAAGCAAGCAGCATATTCCTAAAGTCTGAAGCCAGCGATGATAATAAGTCATGGCAATGCCAATAAAAATATATAGTCGTGCATAGCAAATGGTGAATCGTGTCAAAGGAGTCGAAGGGTCGAGATCAGACGATGGTTATACCGGTATAGTTATAGCTTCAATGGGTCCAATCATATCGACAATGAACTCTAATAGCTGCAGGCATCACTAGCACTATGCAACCATGTTGTGTATATGTACAAAGCTAGCTTACAGGTATCTAAAATTTCACCAGATTAGGCAATAACGTCAAGGTGGACAATCTCCATACCATTATGAGTCCGTTCACTTTGGTCGATTGGTTCTTCTTCGTTGTCCTTTTTTTCAGCGGATGAAGATGAAGAAGATACATCATCAATTCCATCCTCACTTGCCCGGCAACTTTTGATAATGTCGCGACCATCTTCATCTTCGTTCGTCTGGTAACTGCTGCCAAGGTCATGATCAGACCTGTAGCTGCGGCCATATTCATCGTCGCTCGTTCGGCAGCTATTACCGAGGCCTTGATCGGTCTCGCTGGCATCGGTCGAGTCGGCAGCTTCCAAATCCGAGTCATCAAACGCAGAACTGTCAAAGGCTTCACTGGGGCCACTTCCCATGCTTATGGTTGGGCCTGTGCTGCAACGACGCAACTGGTATGGTGTAGCACCCTCTTCGTCATCTACATCTCCAAAGCTGTCACCACTGCACATGCTTCTAGTTGTATTTAAAAGATCACTTCCATTCCCATCAGCGGTATCATCTTGGCGTTTGCACTTCCAAAACAGAAAGTTTCGTTTCGTCTCGGAGGGAGTGCTAGAGCAGGATGAATTGGTATCTTCGTCGTCTTTTACAGTCCTTTCGGTATCATTGGTTGTAGGTGCTGCCTTCGAGGCTGCCGCTGCTGCTGCTTCCCTTTTCTTTCGGTCATCTTCTATTGACCGGAGTATGATCAATCCCTCTTCCACACAAAAGTAGGTTCGTGTCAAATACTTGGATCGTACAGAGGCCATTTCTTTCAGCTCTTCGGAAGTGAACTTTTCTCCACCAAACAATCGCCGCGGTCGCTTGCTAGATTGCAATTTTAGCTTCGGCTTGTCGACTGGAAGAACAATGGTTCGACAGCACGGACATTGAACCCGGCGAAGCAACCAATTCCTCAGGCACTCGTGGTGAAAGACGTGTTGGCAAGAAATGTCACACGACCAAGAAACAGCCTCGCCGATACGAAACTTTTCCAAGCAAATGGCACATTTTTTATTCATAATATCCCCATTATCATCCATCAAATCGTCGCCATCTGTACTAACCGATTGATCATCCTGAGGCTCCTCCAACTGAAGTTCTGGATCTTCTTCTATCATGTCGTCGCCCTTTTGTTTATCAGCATCCTCCGTTTCCCAATGAATAGATGATAGTTTGGTGAGCATGGCGCCCGGATTAAAGATATATCGTTTTTGAGGTGGTGGTGCATCTTTCTTGTTGCTAGAGGAGTTGCTGCAACCACTGCAAGAGCTACCAGAGCAGGAAGATTGTGTTGCCGAAGATGTATCCGATGAGCAGCTGGTGCATGGTGGCTTGACATACTTTTCGGGATTCTCCGCCAACTGTCTGATTAACAGTTCACAGCAGGCATCATGCGGTTGGACTCTCTGTTTTTTGACAGTAGTAGGCAGCGTTGAAAGAAATAGAGAGTGATATTGGGTGAGTCCAGTTGCCAGAAGTTGAGTTCGGGTTCTTCGTCTTTGAGATATAATCGTACCTTGCTGATAAGCCAACCATCAATTGTCGCATACCGTCGGTCAATCCGTTTCTGTGACACTGGCATTTTCCTTCGAATTAAATCCATCAGAGGCGGAAACATGATCCATACCAAGACGAAACTTAGGAAGGTAATCAAGCCTATGAGTACCCCAACAATGGCCATGTTTTCGTGTCCTTCTTCCTCTGCCATTTTGTTTGAATTTCAACTTTAGTTTGTGAGTGCGAGACGATGATGTCAGTGAGAGACTGTGTGTTTCTCCTGAGTTGCTGTTGAGAGCTTCTGGTTGCAAATGGTCACTTCTGCGGCAACTGAAGACTCTTCTACCAAGACAAGAGCGTTGTTTCCAAGTTTAGAGGATAAGTAGTTCCGTTGTATTGTCCGCGGAACACTCAAAAGAAAGATATTCTGATGACAGGAACGTTCTGAAGAATTTTGGAAATCAGTCGTTTTTGAAGAAAGCGCTGAATGTCACGTCCGTTTGTTGCGATAGCGAGCGTAGCGAGATGGCCCAACAGTAAGCTGATTGACTTGGATGAGGAGAGCGATTGTGATATCTCTCTTGACTGTCCAAAGATAAGACGAATTCAGAAGTTTCTGGTCGTAATCTTTTTCCTTCCTCTGAATGCCGTCTCTCGAGCCTTCCTGGAACACAGTCTCCCACCACATCCACAGGCGAAACAAAATCTAAACCGAAAACGTCATTCGTTCGGAAATATACACTCTTCATGTCTGGATATAATCTACAACATACATTGTGCTTCATTAAATGTGAAATGGACGGCATTTAAGAACGGACTTTTATCAATTTAGCGTTTGCGCTTTGTCAACTGCAAAAAATCGAACCCGCCAAATTAGTCCGACAATCGTCATCGGCTCACGTGGTATCATATTGCTGTACCCGAAGTCTCTTCGAGGAGGAGTCAGTCAGTCGTCCAAAATGTCTAGAAAAGAGACCCGGATCTCTGGCCTGAAGATACCTCTGCCCTCTCTGGCCTCTGAACTGCAGCAAACACACGGTACCAGGGTACCTACTACTGTACCTTTTGATAGAATACGCTAGTTATTCTTCTAAATGGCATGCAACTCGTCACTCAAATGCAAAGATGTTCAGCATTGCTCATTCAACCACATTCTTTGAATCTGAACACATTCTTGTGGAATGACACAAACTGAAAATGTTCCAACGTCCATGTTCTGACGCTTGCCAATGTCACTTATAAATCCATAAAGCCATAGCATAGCATAGAATAAAGCGAGAAGATTGATATGCAAACAAAGACTATTGCTTTCATGTTAAGCTGCAGTTTTCGTGTCAGTAATGTATAAGTTCTTGTCTTGGAGGTCATTTTCATGATGAGTTCAGTTCGTTCAATATTCAGCAATAGCGATCAAGTAAACAAAAATAAGATCGTCTTGCATCGTTTCTTTAATTCACCACATAAAACCAGATAGTCATGAAGTAGACAGCGGATTCCACTTTGGACTTTCAGATGTGCATGAATCCATCAAAAACAATTGTTTAGTAGTAGTAGCTGCTGAAACAAGGACAATGATGATTCGAACGCGATGGTCAACGGATTATATTGCTGGTGAATCATAGAATCATAGACTTCCTTGTGATGCCCTCGCACGTGGAAACAATGCAGATGGTACACCGTTCAAAAAGTGGCCATCACCACCGCCTCCAATCATCGAAGCGGAAGCTGTTTTCAGCAATGCTGCATTCGAAGATGATGGTGTTGTTCTTGTGCTTGTTGTGGATTTCGAACCACCCATAAAGAAGGTTCCGAGAGTCACAGCAAACACTGTTGGTACCCACCAATATGTGGATACCAATGCAGCAAGACTGGTTTCATCAGTGCTGTTTCTATTTGCGGAAGATTCGTTGCTCATCGTGTCAAAATACTTTGGGCGAGATTTAGAACTTAGAAGTCTATCAATGTCCTGAAAGCTGAAGGAAGGAGAAAGCAATAGAAAAGCTGAAGCAATTGCAGGTGGATGATGTCGTCAATCGCGAATCTCGATAGAAAAGAACTACGATCGAAAATGTTATGACAAGTTCTGAGTTGATGTCGTCGTTGACACCTTTGGGTGAATTCAGTAGAACAGCTTTTTGAAAAAATCCGGCATGCGTGCACCAGAAGTACGTACTGACGTTCGTCCGATAAGTGTTCGAACAGGGATGACTCTAAACGGACAGAGTGATAGGAGTTCATTCTAAAGTACTAGCACTGTAAAAGATAATCAAAAGACCTCAATTCGAATATCAATAAGACATGCCAATCTGGTACTGTACTACAATTATAGGAGTAATTAGTTAAAATGGTGTACGACGCCGCTGCCCCTTTGTTGGGATGTTCTGTCCAGTGCCATCATCGCGATACTGCATGCACCACCGAGTATTGCAATAAAAAATTATTATTATTGGCAACAACGGCTGTTCACATGTCTGACGGATATCGCTTGCTCCCCATATTTGAGCAGGGTGATGGATCACATGACACTGATATCCCAAGCGAGGCTTCCGCTTTGCCTTTCAATCCTTTGGAAATAGTAATCTCAAATCGATGATCTTGTTCTTGAAGTAGGTACGCCAATCCCAAATCCTAAAGGGACCACTTATCTGGGATCTTGCTGATCAGGACGCGCTTACGAGCCTCGACCTGCCCATCCCACCCCCGTCGTCCCACCCAAACGATTGATTCGCTTTAGGTGGCCAAACAAGACTGGAGGGAAGCACCCAGTCGCAGCAAGCCATGAAATCATCTGGTTTTGCGTCGCCGATGCAACCTAGTGAGTGACCAATCCACTAGAAACCACAAAGGCAAACACTAGCCTTCCGAAGGATCCCTTGGAAGTGTGACAATAAAATAAATGCGAAAATGTATTCTCGCCAAAATGTCCTAAAAGAGAAAAGAAAAAAAAGTGAGATCATGGTTAAAAAAGTAAATGCAATTGATGGGGTGAATTTCCAGGTGACACTCTCTGATGGGTTGTTCGTGTGTTGTCGCACACTATTATCATACTTCATCTCTTTCAAAGTCGTAGCAAGAATGTGCTTTATTTGGCACCTTTTCCTCGATTTACCACTCGGCGACTGTATCGTCGTCCTTTTTCCGTCATGCCAGATCCCAAAGCTTCAGTAGAAGGATCCTTCTTATCTGGCGAAAATTTGAGCTGTAGCCGTCGGCTGTAGCGCTTTCCGGAATCGGTCCATCCAGATCCCATTCCATCAGAAGGAATATCATTCGTAGCTGCGTTGTCAGATTGCTCAGTTGGTGATGCAAAAATCTCGCCATCGCTACCATCCTGCTCCAAAGAATCGAAGTCGTCATTAATCAATCCAGCATCAAAAGGCGACTCGTCCATGGTACTCAAGTCTTCTCCCTCTGGATCTTCGATAATGACAAGAAGGGAAGTTTTGGATTCCTTCTTCTCGTTCACGTCATCGACTTCTTCTTCCTCCTGCTTTGGATCTTCGATAATGACAAGAAGGGTTGGTTCAAAATCGATCTTCTTTTCAGACATTTTCTCATTCTGGCCCTTGCTTCTTCTGGCTCTTGCCTTGTTTGCCCACTTGGCTCTTTCGGCCTTGGTCTTCATGTTCAAATTCGCCTTCTCGGCCACGATCTCCTCGGCCTTCTTGACCCAAATAGCGCCAGCTTTGGCAAGATGAGTCGATCGTTCATTGGCGATGTCATCGTTGAATCCAGCATCCAACGACGAGTCAATGTCGCTCTCGTCGCCGTCTTCTTCTGGATCTTCGATTAGGACAGGCAGCAAAGGAGTGAAGAGTTCGTTGGTTCGTTTGGCCCATGTTGCAGCGCAAGTTGGAACTGTAGATGATGAATTCATTTTGCGACGCTTGGTGGGTCTGGATGAAATAAGGCAGGAAGTTGCGGTTCGCTTGAGTGACAATGGTGCTTGTTCTTCCATGCAGGGCTCGTCGTCGTTGTTGTCGTCGTCATCCAAATCCATTGGTACTGGAATATTGGAGAGCATGTCCTGAAGGACCGTTGGAAGCATTTGTCGGTGGTCCTCGAGCGCAATTGCAATGGTTTCAGAGTCGATTTTGCCATCAATAAATCCAGTATCCAAAGACGAGTCAATGTCACTCGAATCTTCTTCTGCTGGATCTTCGATAATGGTGGCAAGCACCGTAGGTTTGAAATCGATCATCAAGCGTCGGGCATTCCGTCTCTTGATCTTGCGGTCAATTTGACGAATTAGCTGCCTTCGGGACTGAAGATCTTGCTCGTCGGGAATGAAGTTTCTCCTTCGAGTCTTAGGGGCGAATTGGACTCGGCTTGAAGAGGTTGGTTTGGGTGATCCCCAATCTTGTCTTGAAGGACGAAGAATGGACACAGGAGTGTGTGGAACGAATCTCACGGTGTTCTCTATCTCCGGAAGTACTTCGTCGTGAAGTTGAATGCGCCATTGAATCAGACCCCAGCATTCCCTGCGAGATTGTAGCTCTTGCTTGTTTGGGACAAAGGTTCGACGAAAGATTTTGGCGAAACGGACACGATTTGGTTTTCTGATGAACACACCAAACCAACTTCGGTTTTTCTTGCGAGACCCGCCTTCTGGACGACGAAGGATGGAAACAGGAGGCTGTCGTCTGTTCCATTCCCTGCAAAGTCTCTGATAGGTTCGGTAAGTGTCGAGTACCATGTACCGAAGTGACACGATTGCGACTGCACAAACCAAACCGGTAATGATGGTTTCTTGAACTGGTTGTTCTTGTTGTTGTTGAGTGATGGCACTCATTCGAGGTAACTTGGGAAAGCTGATGCTTTTCAAGCTTTCTTGATTGACAAAGGTAGTGATGTAGTTGGTCATGATTGTTGTTGTTGTTGTTGTTGATTCAAAGAGGTTCATAATGGAAATTGTGAGGTGTTGCGTTGAGGCGGTGTGGAGTGAAAACCACGGCGGGTTGGAGATCGCCAATTTGCCGTGTTTTTAACACGATTGACTCCTTCGAATCCTCGTTTGGTGGTCTCGGTGGACGGTGTTGCGTTTCCCCCCGTACACATGTTCAACGAACGGGTATCAACCGCCACAAAGCGGGTGTAAACGGCTTTTTTTGGTACCGGATTGATTCATTCATTCATTCATCCAGAAAGCTACCGGTATCGCACATACAGTATTGATATAAACTCACATATTGGCAATTGGAAAACCATACTCTATACTCGTCATCTATAGCAAAATAGCAATCTACTTTATCACGCAATCACGACATTGCGGTCGTTTAATATTTGCGATTGACTGGCTCCTGCTTGTGGTTTATGCTTTTTGTTAACCCACCAGCCCACGCTTCTAGTACTCGTCTTCATGTCGATGTGGCTTCCAGATGCCGTACCAAAATATGCAACTTGGAAGCATTCCTCTTCTACTCCTCGAATGTACATATATTATTCGCCACATTCATTCACACAATCACGACCACTGACACCAATGTTTCGAAGTCGATATCCACAGACAAATTCACAAAAGTAAAATCGTCTTGCGTCCTTTCTTCTTCATCGTACAAAATTAAATAGTCAACAGTAGACAGCGGCTTTCAGTGTAGACTTTCGGATGTGCATAACACAAAATGATTGTTTAGCTGACAATGATTCGAAAACAAGATTCATTCAACGGACTACATTGCTTCTGAATGAATAATCGAGTCATAGGCTTCCTTGTGAAGATCTCGCACGCGGAAACAGTGAAGATGGAACAGCAGCGGAAACTGCTTTCAGTAATTCTGCATTGGAAGATGCCTGTGATGGGGATGATGGTGCCCTTGTGCTTGTGCTTGTGCTCGTGCTTGTTGCTGATTTCGAACCGCCCGTGAAGAAGCTTCTTCCGAGGGTCACAGCAAAGAAAGCTGTTGCTCCAAGTCCGAGAATCATTGGAATCCACATATAGGTAACAGTTCGAAACGATCTACGCAATTCCAAAAGTGATTCTGTCGTATTGACCTGGACATTGGGAAAGGGTTCGTCGTCTGGTGGAGCTTCCTTTCCAAGAAATTTGCACAATGGTCCCCAACCTTCCTTCACGTTAAAGATCAGCAGGTTTTCTGGCTTCGCATTCGCTTTGACATGTTCATTGTGCCTTATGTATTGTTCTGCCAACCATTCATCGCCTTTTTCCCTCCAACCATGCGTCAACTCGCCTGGCTTCAATCCCAGGTGAGTCGTTCCCATAAAGAACCGAATCTTTTTCAAGTTGGCAAAGAGTGGTATGTAGCCAAAAAAGCTGGGATACTTCCAAGTGAACTTCTTTTCGGTCAATACCATTGTATCAAAGAGAGTCTTCCAACTTTTGCAAAACTTTTCGGGTGTGTCCCGTACCGTAAGTATGACTTTGGCATTTGGATATTCCGCCAAAATATCTTGGTAAATATCACAGGTTGGATTCTCCAACGTCGCAGTGTAGCCATCTTTGGCAATCAATTGGATTATGTCCTGTGGAGTGCGCTTGCCATCGGCCAATTCTGCCCAAGCATATTGATGCGAAAAGTGCAAATAATGATACGTTTTGTATCCCAACTTGTTTAGAGCTTCCGTCAAGCTCATGGTTCCTGTTCGGCCCAAGCCGGCGCATATGACTTGAATGCCCTTCTGTTGGGCTTCTCCTTCTTCTAGTTTTGATGAGGATGACATCTTCTTGGAATCGTTTGAATTGCAATAGAGATGAAAGATCTGTTATGATGACTTCAGGTTTTGCTTACTATATTGTGTTTCTTTTAAATCTTCAACACAAAACACTGAGAAATGACCGCGCGCATTATGTGAGACACAAAAATGCCGACACCTACTACAGTACTTTAGGATTTGATCTTATTGGCCATGCCGAGGCATCAGAGATCTACACTGATTAACAGCAGAATTCCCCTTGAAACTATACGCTTACAATTATAAGAACACTGTGTAAAACAATGTAGTCGCATCATCATGCCATATACCTATGATTCGGCAACAGTAGCTGGAGTAGTAGCAGCACGATTTCTTCGTCGTTCCCGAAGCTCAGCCAGTTTGGCATCTTTGGATTGAGTACTGGCTAAGCTTCTGCTGCTTGGATCCTTGGTGACCAATCGTGCCGAACGGGCAGATCTTGCCCGTTGGAGTAAATCTACTCGTTTTTTAGTGCCATCCCCTGCTGGTTTGGCCCCATTTCGAGAAGAACCCAGCTTTCTGCTCGACACTCTCGCAGCAACTTGTTGTTGCTGCTGTTGCCGTTTAGCTCGCAGCATTTCCAATCTCGCAGAAATGTCTGCTTTTTCCTTTCGATCGTGCACCCTTCCTTTGCTGGATTGTGAGTGTTCGTCTCCGTTCTTCGTCGATTGTGGTGATGCTGCTATTCGATGGCTTCCGAGGTCATCATCATCATCGTTACGTTCGGTAACTTCTTCTTCTGGTTCTTCTTTGAAGGATCTATCCAGCGGTTGTGGTGGCGTGGATTCCTTTGATTCATCAGCCTCGGCGTCAGCATCAGCCTCAGAAGTGTCAGCCGGTTCTTCTTCAATGGGGTGTTCCGATAAATCTTCTTCCTCCAAACGCACATGAATGGACGACAGTACGGACTGAATTTCACCCGAAATATTCTTGGCCCTTTCCATGGAAGTTCGCTCGATCTCTTCGACATTTTCCAACGTTTTATTAAAGACTTCTTGTCGAATTTCTTTCTTGGCCTTTCGTTCTTTGAGGCTTCCAAACTTGGCTTCAATTCGCAGTTCTGCAGATCTTCTTAGCTTGGTAGCTTCAAAGCTTTGGATTTCTCCAGCCGCTAGCTTGGCGGCTTCGAGCGCGGTCGAGTCCACGGATTTTTCATCGTCCGCCATCTCTTTCAACTTTAGGTTGCCAATATATTTGCGTTGCGCTGCCATCCTGGCTTCGTAGGCTTCCTGAAGTTCATCCCGATTCGTTCGGGCAGCTTCCACTTGTTCTTTTAGTGTACCTGTTATTTCTTCACGGTCCTTGCTGGCTTCGTTCATGACTCCCTTATGCAAGAAACTAATTAGAAGCTCTTGTTGTTCGTGCAGCATTTCCATCTGATGGTCCAGTATATGATTGCTGTGCCATACTTTTAACAATTTGGCTTCATGAGCCAGTGTAGAATTGGATGAATCATGACATGGAAGGCTGACCTTGAACATTTGCTTCTTATAGTCTTTCATCCCTGACAATGGATTCATGTGATGACTTTTTCGTGTCCTCCATAAGGTCCTGGCAACTGCATTCTTGTCGCGTATGTGAGCATTCTCAGTTGTCTTGTATTGTCGTCTCCTTGTTTTTCCAATCTCATATATTCGGACTAATTCAATCTTTTTCTTTGCTACTTCTTTCCTCATCTTTTCCAGCTTTCGATGTTCTTCCTCCCGTTGTTCCCTGACAAGACGCTCTTCTTCGGTTTCATCCTCCTCGTTGCCTTCTTCAATTGGTTTCACGTCAATTTCTGCCAGTGGTGCTGCAAAGCGAGAGAAACCAACCCTGAAACTTAAGGATTTCATCATGGTAGGCGGTGGTTCCGCCACATCTGCCTCATCCACTTCGACTGCTTGATCGGCTGACAATTCTACGAGTACTTGTTTTGCCTCATTCAATATTCGTGCAGCTGAAGTCTGATCGTCTTCTTCATCTGCCATGACGTTTTCCTCGAAAGGTGGACTGTTGGTTTCTGTGGTTTTGTCTTCCATCATGGTCTTCCAGATGAAAGAGTATGAGATTTGCTACAGGGTAACTTGGTGATTGAAAATAAAAGAGAGAGGCAATCGTCACAACAAAAGGACGAGTGGGTTGAACTTCCCCAAAGAATTTGTATTGTGACCATTTTTGTTTAGGAAACCGATAAGTAATTTTGTCGGCTTCCGTATCGTAGTCGAAGTGGTCAAAAGCTCTGAACGCCAGCCGAACTCGTGCAACGCACCAAGACCGTTTCAACGCAACCCAACATCATGATGCAAATCTGGGATTTGGCGATCAACGGAATACACATGCTTTCAACTCCTAAATACCAAACGTTACATCCGTTGATGAGCAGATTGACGAGATCTTTCAATCTCAAAAAATCGGAAGAAACACTTCCAACTTTTGACCATGACCAGTCAACAGCAAGCCCTCGAGGGATTCTTCGATGCCGTCGAACAAACTGGCGAAGAACAGAGTGAAGCTCTCACCGAGTCGACGATACCAACCTTCGGTATTGAGGATGGACGTGGTAATCCCAACTTGACGCTGGATGAATCCAGCTTTGAATTCATCCAATGTCCAACCATGATGACCACAGGTGACTTTTTTCGTTCCCAACAGGATGAAGGACTCCAGCACCAATATTTTGATGAAGTCATCTCTGTGGTAGAGAACAAGCTGGGATGTGAGAAAGTCGTGTGTCTCAATATGCAAATTCATGATAATGCTGGTCCCAAGTTGGATTCGGAACAACTTCAAGGCATGGACGATCTCTATGCCTTTTCCAAGCCACAGACCTCCACTTCCAGTCGAGTCAGTGATGAAATGGCAGTCTCACTAGCAGGAAAGGATCACCGATACCAACGATACAGTGTTATGAGTCTCTGGCGCTTCATTGAAGATGAAGAAGAACAAAATCTTGGGCAATACCAGCAATTGGCCCTCATGGACGAGCGTTCATCCGTGAAACCAGACGATTACATTATTGCCAGAGATAATAAAAGGGAACATCGACGAGACGGGAAATCTTCCGTGGAAGGATACTACACCTTGAATTCAAGGCATGCGAACTGTCACAAGTGGTACTACTTTCCGAACATGGAAATGGACAGCGAAGCCATCTTGATCAAACAAATGGACAGTGATTGGTCGAATCCAGGTCGCATGTGCTTCCGAATGGGCGTACCAGATCCAAGACATGAGATTGCGGCTCCTGAATACATTGCCCGCAGAGCCGCTGAAGTTCGCATGATTTGCTTTTGGGAAAACCCGCCCAGTGGAATCAACAGCATGCCAACTCTACGAGACATCATGCCCCATCATTCCGCCAACGAATCCAACAGCAGCACGACTGGTGATCGATCCTCGTGGTTGGACAAGATGATGTATGGGGATAGCAAAGTCCATGGATGGTTGGACAAGATTGAATCCATGTCTGCTGGATTCATGGAAGGTACCGAGAAGATGACTCTTGCTGGTCTTGTCTCGAGAGCCGCCAGTTGTCAAGGAGGAAGCGCTGCTCCCATGCCTCTGAACCTGGACGACGATGGCAAATTACCAGCAGAGGGAGGATACTTTGGTCGTTACACCAAGGAATACTCGGACAAGTACGAAGACGAATACCGTCGCATGTACTTGCCCAAGTTTTTGGAAGTTGTGGATTCCTATCCATCCTGGCCACCGTCGTCGAAGAGTTGGGCCCGCCAGCAAATGCGCAATTTTGGACACCGCGAGGTGGACCGCGGGATTGCCGAAATCACTTGTGTCATTGTGGACGACAGTATGGGAATGGTTGGTACCAAGAACTTTCCAGTCTCCAAGAAGAAGAAGATAATTGATTTCTTGATTCGTAACGAGACGTACATGTATGCCGCCATGGCGCAATGGGCGCCATTGGCCTACGAAATCCCAATTGTGAATCATCATCATCATCATCATCATCCTACTGGTCCTGTCGTCAAACCCATGGGCCAACCCCCACTGGAAGTAGGTCAAGTCGAACAAAACGCTGGCATGATCATGGATTATCAGGTTATCGTCGAAGGACGTGACGATCAGCCACAGCCAATAAGTCGAGGCAAGTCCCCCAAATCCAGCACAGTTGCGTCGGGCAGTCGCCACCGAATCAAGTCTCGAAGCAGATATGGTGGCAAGATGATGACTCATCCTGAAGGAGGAGGAGGAGGAGTAGACGAGTCCAGTACCGATCCTAGTAGTACTAGCTACGAAAGCAGCAAATTGAATCGAAGCCGTCGTCTTCATGAAGAATACAGCCAAGTGATGGAACGCCGCCTCTTTCAAAGTCGATCGGTGGCTTCGAATAACAACAATGACGAGTCTACCGAATCCTACGACGAAGACGAATCGGAACTCTTGCGGTATTCGGAACAACGAGATGGGGTATCCCGACGACCACCAGTACCATCATACGGGGGATTAGAAGAGTATCACGAGCCAAGGACCACAATTTCTACTCCTACTACTACTGGCAGTCCCGAGAACCCAGAATGTTACACTGAATCCAGTCCTGTGGGTTCACTAGCGTATTCCATGGAGAGTCGTCTCCTATACGCTGGTAACAAGTATCGTGGTGATCGTGTTGCTGTTGATGATCGTGTTGCTGTTGATGATCGTGGATACGAGGAAGAGGGCGAGTCATCTCTTGGCAGCAGTTACACCCACTTTCATCAACGAGAGTCTTCCTTTCGTCAACAACCACGCAATCATTATCATCATCAGCATCGTCGCCTTGACATGGAGGAGGAGCAGCCACAAATAATGTACACGTACAATGTGAATGCACCCTATACCAAGAGTCACCATCATCATCGTCAGACGGTCCGATCGTCTTGGGAGGAACCAAGCGAACCATCTTTGTGAGCATGATGCACTTACTGTAGGGGATGCTTGTTGTTGTTGTTGTTGTCGAATGACTTTTTTGGTATTGACTCGCAATACCATAATGGAAGCAACAGCAACAGCAATACCAAGATCAACATGAAATAGAAATCAATGAATAGGCTAAAATGATTACATTAGATTCAATAAATGGTAGATTGTAGTGTACTGTATGACTGTATATGATATAGATCATCGCAAACCCGAAAACCCGACAACCCAGCCGAATAAATGAATGATTGCATCCATCATTGAACATGCATGCGTCGCAAATCGCAATCCATCATCCCACTCTTCTTCCCGACACGATAATGAAATCCTGGCGCAGTGACACCCGGAGGTTTGACAGGCGCGCGCCGCTTTTGAGACCTTCTCCGGAACGCATTCCGTGTTTGGTCATCACGAACGATGATTGGCCAAGCCCGTGAGAGTCGAAGGATTCGACTATGTCTTCGCAGAAACGCTACAGGAATCAAGTACCAGGTTCTGCGATCGTGGCAGGCAGTATTCTCATCCAAAGAACCGTAGATCCACGTAGACCATGTACCAGAATCGAAAACAGCCCAAAGTACCATCTGTCCACCTACCTCCCGAAAAGTACATTTTCCCACATACCTTGTTGGACCAGCAACAAAGCCTACCGTCAAAACTTTCTATTCCTTGCAGTAGTTTGGATGTAAGTAGGATGCTGGCAATGATGGAACGTGATGTGTGTTTGGGTATCTTCCATGCGACCATGATATGATGACCAATGATATGAAACCGTACGAATGTATGAATGAATAACACAATGCAATGCAATGCAATGCAATACAATACAAACCAATACAAACAATTGTGTTTACACTCCACACTACAAGCGACTCTTCTCGCTTTCTTTCATCGCTTTTGACTTGGCACTTTGACACATCACAATGATAAAGTGATGATGGCTAAATTGGCCATACAATGGATTGATGCTATGGCTATGGCTATTGCTATTGCTTTGCCGCGATACGATTGATTCTTCATGATCAGACACGCCAAGATTTCAAGATCTTTCCATTGGAAGAATAATCACATCGCATCACATTACACATTGTGTCACATATCATCATGAACCATATCATCAAACAAACAAAGAAACACAAACAAAGAAACAAACCATCAATCTCACAAACACGCTGCTCCTTCTTTCTTTGATCCAACAAACAGAACGAACACAAACAGAACGAACACAAACAGTTCGATCAAAACTCCTATAGAACAAACAGCACGTACTGAACCGGTAGCAATTCTTACACAACAATGGCCAAACGACCCTCCCGCGATCCAGGGGCTCCCAAGAGGAATCTTTCAGCTTACCTTCTCTATCAAAATGCCATGCGCGAACAATTCAAGGCTTTGAATCCAGGCATGACCTTTGGCCAGTTGGCCAAGTATACATCGGCCATGTACGCCGAATTGCCTCCCACGGAAAAGGAAGCCTGGGGTGCTCGTGCCGAAGCGGACAAGGCTCGGTACCTCCACGAATTGGCTTCCTATGTGCCACCACCAGGATATGACAGCAAGGGCGACGCTATCATTTCTCCCCTCACCACCAAATCGGGACGCAAGGGAAAGCCCGAGAAGGATGTCAATGCGCCAAAGAGAAACATGAGTGCCTATCTACTTTATCAGGTAAGCCGCTTCTAGTTGTTGCAGGACGAAAGTATACACACACACACACACACACACACACGTACTAACGCTAACACCAAATCTTTCTGTTTAGAATGCCATGAGAGATCAATTCAAACGCGAGAATCCAGGCATGACCTTTGGACAACTCGCCAAGTATACATCGCACATGTACCGAAACTTGACGCCCGAAGAAAAGGCCACTTGGGTTGCTCGCTCGCAACAAGACAAGGCTCGTTACGATGCCGAGATTGCCGCCTATGTTCCTCCACCGGGACACGATGCACGTGGTGTCCTCATTGAGGATCATCGACCACGCAAGCGCAACAAGAGGGGACCCAAGGATCCTGCAGCACCCAAACGTCCTTCTGGTGCCTATGTCTTTTTCACCAATGACATGCGCCCCAAGGTCCTACAAGAATATCCAGGAATCAAATTTGTCGAACTGGGAAAAGTCTTGGGCGAACGCTGGAGATCTTTGACTCCAGAACAAAAGAAACGGTACGAAGAGCTTGCGGCAGAAGATAAGGTTCGTTTCCAAATGGAAATGCAGCAGTACACTGCCAATCAACAGGCCCAACAACCACCACCACCCGTTCCAGTGCCACAAGTGGTGGCACCCCAACAACACTTGCCTCCACCTGTCATGTCGGAAGCCCATCATCATTACTACGCCGATCCCAATGCGGCCTATGCGGCACAGTACGCCCATGATCCTTACGCGCAGCATGCACAGTATCACACTGCTTGACTGGAGGAGGAGACTGCGGGCTTGAAGGAAGAACAGAGTGATCTTCCACCACCTCATCATACTTTCTAACAAAAAGTACGATGGAGGGTGGGAATGGACAATTAGAATTCAAGCACTAAAAATCGGCAACTTTCGAGTTGCGCGCCACAATGCCGTAGTTGGAGACCCGTGTGAAGTAGAACGCACACACCATAAGAAGAACAGCGCACAAAAGAGGAGGGAAGAGAATAGAAGGAAAGGAAAGAAAAGGAAATATCACTCATTATATACATGTCAGTATTCAACAAATCAATTGTAGGGACAGTTGTGTCGTCCTTTGTTTTAATATTTTACATATAATAATTTGTCCTATTATAAATAATGATAATAAGATAACGACAAGTATTATACCAGCCTGGTACGAGTACTGTATTCTAATGATATCGGTGGTTCTTTGCAACGGGATCGCTTTCTTTGGAGTGTAAAGCAAACGCCACTGTACTGGTCCCAGGTTTCGTCTTCCAGTGAGCCCTCTTTCTTGTTTGTAACACTGTACTGTACAGTACCGGAAGGTGTATTTCGTACATGCATAATATATATATAAATATAAATACAAATACAGATATATGAACGAAGTGTCTTGTGCATGGAACACAAACGCCATTCTTCAAATGAATGGTCCCACTCTTCTTCTTCTTCTACTGCCTCGCTCTTTCTTGGTTGCGTGCTTTTTGTTTGCGCACTATCGTGATCGCTTCATGTCATGTCACGACTGGAAACCAACAATAACAAACGCCACTATATACTACCGGTACACTACTGTAGATTAGTCCCACCACTCTCCTTTCCAAGGGTCCCACCAAAAGAAGAAGCATAGCGATGCACTCCTACTGGCACACGTACTGGTACCGTAATGAGCCGATCTTTTGTCTCACACCGAAAAGGTAAGAAGTTTCGTGAAAAACAGTAGTAAAATACAGTAGTAGTAGTACAGCAGTATAGATAGGCGGGTGGTTCTTATTGCTGTTTGAGCCTGTCCCTGGCTGCTGCATGGAATCAATGGATATTGTTCGATCATAATGATCGTTTCTTTGGTACAGTGGTACCGGTAGTACCATCCACCGTGTGTGTAGTAGTATGGAAGTAAACACTTATTGTACCTTTCAGTCTAATGTTTGTATTATACAGCAGTAGGTATATTATAAATTATAAATAGCTCGAAAAATTCGTCTACAAATACATCATTCTTGGAATGCGCTTAAAGTCAACTGTGTATATGGTGCCCTTCACCTGTACCAAAATGCTTCCTTCACTCACGCACAGCAAGAACCCAACCAATTCCGCTGCAAGGCGACCATGATAGCTGGTTCAAGAATCATGAATCCTCCAAGTCACTCTCATCATCATCACTGCTATGAAAGCCGTCACTTGTCATCTCCATATTTCTCCTTGTCTGCATAAGCAATGATGACAAACGGTCGCAGTTGTCGTGCAACATTTCCTTCGCCGATTGTTCCGAAATGGAAGAACCCTTTCGGCGTAAACACCGTCTCTTCACTCGGTTGTTGCTGCTGGTCTTTTCTGAATCGAGAATGTCAATGGCTTCACCAATCCTAGATTCTTGGGAGGCATTCTTGTCCCAATCGTTATCCAGGGGGTTGGCTGTGCCGTTGTTGTTGTTGTTGCTGTTGTTGTTGTTGTCGTTGTTAATAGTGACAAGAATAGTATTGCTCGTAATACTGATGGGTCCTCGTGAGAGCCGAATTTGAATCCTAGCATTGCCCTTAAGGGAGTCGGTCTGCGTTGCATTCGAAGCATCGCGATTCTTGTTGTTGCTTGTGGTGGTTGCCATGGTCATTTGCTGATATAGTTTTGTGTCAGTTGTGGTTTCGTGGTTAGTACGGTAGCTTTGGTTGTTGTTTTATTTTGTGTGTCAGCGCTTTGACAAGACACTCCAATGTCAAATGTGCTACCAATATTTGATCAGATCTTAGAATGTTTTCAGTGCTATTTGTTTGCGGGAATGGTGCTTATATAAAATATTATAATGCGGTTATCACATCACTTTCAGGTCCCTTTCTCTTCATTCGTCCCACCAAAGAATAACAGCTTTTTAAAAAAAATCCCGGATAGAAGAGCCAATCCAACACGCTACTGCCAACTACACATCCCATATCCAAATACGGTACCAGGTACGGTACGGTACTGGTACGGTACTCCCACAAAAACAGTAAAGTTTAATAAAATATATATGTACTGCGGTCCCTCTCTCTCCTGTTGAACCAAAGAATAACAGGTTTTTAAAAAAATTAAAAAATATATTGTCGGACCGCGTAGAAGGGCTAATTTAAAAAACAACCGAAGGCCTATAAGGCGCTACCGGTACCGGTACTACATACCCTCTTTCTCTCAGTCTAAGAGTCCCACCAAAAGGAGAACCAATGAACGGATTTTTTTGCCTTACACCCATCTGTCCCATCAGTTGTGTGCTGCGAGCCGTGCTGAGTTTTTGCCTAGAATGTATCGAAACAATTGTCGGATGTTTTCTTTTGTGCATCTGGCCTGAACTGATACAGTAAAGTACCATTAGTACCATTCACAGTGTGTGTATGCGTGTGTAAACAAATGTAGTCTTTTGTATGTTCAATTCAATTATAAATAGCTCCAAGCCAATATTCTACAGATGCATCATGCTGAAATTGATGCCCCTCAGGTGAACTAGGCATATATGCCCTTCAATGCATGCCTATATCACGCACAAGAACCCGCCAGCCAATTCCGCTGCAATATCATGACAAGCTCGTTCAATCCTCCAAATCACTCTCATCATCACTGCTTAGAAAGCCGTTCCTTGTCATCTCTATACTGCTTCTTTGCACAAGTACTGTCAGGCGGTTGCAGTTGTCGTGCAATAATTCCTTGGCCGATCGTTCCGAAATGGAAGAACCCTTTCGTTGCAGAGACTGTCTCTTCGGTCGCTTATTATTGCTGGTCTCTTCCGAATCGATAATATCAATGGCTTCGTCAATCCGGGATTCTTGAGAGGCATTGTCCGAATTGGCATCCAGAGGATGGGATGCATGCTGATTCATAGTATTAATACTAGTAGTAGTACTACTACTACTAGTAGTAGTATTAATACTGTTGGGTCGTGAGAGCCGTGCGAGAAACGTGTTGTTGCCCTTGAGACAATCGGCCTGCTGCGTTGCATTCGAAGCACTGCTAATACTGGTGTTGGTATTGAAGGAGGAGGAAGCTTTGTTTTTGATTGTGGTTTCCATGCTGGTGATTTGCTTTTGCTGTTATTGTATAATATTTGAATATGTGTCAGTTGCGGTTTGCTATTGCTGTTGTGTCAGTGAATTGGCGCAATAGAGACTCAATAGTTGCTACGCTACAATCGAATTGGAATGACTGGACACGCTGCAGTTTTTAATGTCATGTTGAAGGAAATCAGAGAGTCAAAAAATCTTTCGAGAGATAAAAAGTTCCAGCACTTGCTCAGACTCTCTGTCACGTGTACAAAATTGAGAATGCGAATTTACCACACACGCGACTGTATTGCCATATTCGTCGCGAGTTGAAAACAATATGCAGATTCTGACGCAGAGGAGTCATTTTCACACTTACAATATATAATACTGCGAGTACTTTCAAAAATGGGTATTGCTCCCTTTCAGTGCGTCTAGTTATTCGTTTCGAAGCGAAAGACGTTTCATAAGTGGAAAACATGTTTTACTAAGTGTAAAAATGCTTGCGACAACTTTTGGGACAAAGAGATTGAAAAATTCGGAAATTGTTGCTTAGGAGTATCATTCCAGCCCCCACATATTCTTCTTGTCACGTTCTTATTTTGGCATTATTCTTTCATGGGAGCTCACTGAACAATGCATACCGGTAGGCAGCGAATATAGTGTTATTGCTGCTGACCCTTCACTCACTCATATTCAATATACTCTAGACTCACTCACTCCCTCATCATTGAAATCACTCGCTCAAAGTACTCAAAGATCACCCTAACCCTCGAAATCAACCATGAGGAGCACCCGCACCATCATGGAGAGGAATAATCAAACCATTGCATTCTTCAATGACAGTGATTATTTAAATGCAATCGAAGCATCGGCTTTGGCATTGTCTTCTCTGCGAGAAGCATCCGCAGTCGATCCCACTGAATCATCACCGGACGAGGAGGGATCAAGAACATCCAACACGGATGGATCCTCGCACAGCAATGCACCATCAGGCAGTGACCGTTTGGACCAATGCATGCTTCTTCCGGCAGCAGTCCAGAACGACTTTAAAACATTACTCCACAGCACTAACTTTATCTACGATAACGCCATTCAGATTCCCCCATCCCTCGAGGTGGATACACATATACTTGGCGCGATTGTTATTTTCAATGCGGCTCTGGCACATCATCTTGCATCCGAATCGCAAGAGACCCCCACGCCTCCCGAAGCCCTTCACAAAGCGCAACGCTTATACCGCCTGTCTTACCAACTTTATGGTGGCGGTAAGAGCCTTTTGTTTCAATTTGCAGTCCTCAACAACTTGGGCGTTGTGGAACGAAGACTTGGAAATACTTCCATTTCCAATCAGTACTTTGACTATTTGGCGTCTTTGGTGGAACAGTTTGAGAACAAGCAGCAGCACCAGGAACAAGGATAGTAGTACTGTGGTAATCGATCAACAAGGAGACAACAAGGACGTATGCATGTAATTTTAGAACGATTGTGGCGTGACTTTTGGTGGTGACGGCTTTTGAGAACATCGACAAAGCAATCTCCCAAGAGCAACCAGTCACGCTATTGTCATATGTACAAGTGGACCCAACCCACACTGCCTCGATCGACTCATATTTTAATACTGATACCCACGAGGACCACACAACTAGAAAATATTATGTTATGAATCCAATCTGATCTATAGCTGGTACGCATATCCAAGCAAAGGAAAGGCTGGTGCTGACTTATTATCCGCCAAGTAATCGTACCGGGTACAGTAGGATTACCTGGGGCAGCCTCCGAGCTCCACTCCTGCGCTTATTACAAACCACATGATCAAGACATTATGTGGCACTTCAGTCGACTCAACGGAATGTAGACTTTCGGGTGCGACCACGCGTGACCAACTTTTAGGAATGAAATCTCACGACACCATTTTTGGCAGATTGATTCGACCACGCGATCAAATATTCGTTTCCCCCATTCAGCCCGAAGAATCTGTTCCCGAATCGAACATCCAAAAATCAAAAGCTTCTGATCATTTTTCTGACCGAATAGAGTGTCTGTGCAAAGCTTATTTTTGCATATATATTAGCACAAAAAGCGTGTAAGATAAGGGATCCCACAGGACCACGAACACTTTTCATTCGTATTGCGATAATATTGTGCTGGATACTGGTAGGAACAACAGTGCTTCTTTGCCAGCTGAATTCGTTTGGCTTACCGGTAGAAGCAGCATCGCTTTCGATAAAACCAACCTTGCGTGGCCAGCTGATTCACAATAATAGGATAGATCATCCCTATCCTCATCATGACTATCAGCACCATCATTGAGCGAAACAATCAGACCATCGCATTCTTCAACGAGAGCGACTATCTGAATGCAATCGAATCATCATTGACATCTCTGCGAGAAACATCTGAAATTACTGACCCTGAATCATCTGAGGAGGAATCTGAAAACGAATCATCTGGCAGCAGCAGCGATCGCTTGGACCAATGTATGCTTCTCCCAGCAGCTGCCAGCGACATTCGACGATTACTACTCCATTCTGACTTTATCTATGATCAAGCCATTCCGATATCCCAATCGCTCAAGGTCGATAAACCCATCTTAAGTGCCATTGTCATTTTCAACGCAGCGCTGGCACATCACCTCGCAGCCGAATCACGCGACATCCCAACGCCTCCCAAAGCACTTTTCAAAGCGCAGCGCTTGTACCGATTGGCATACCAGGCGTATACTCCTGGGCCTGGTACTCAAAGCATTCTATTTCAATTTGCTGTGATCAACAATTTAGGAGTCGTGGAACGAAGGCTTGGAAATACGGCATTATCCAATCAGTACTTTGATTATTTGGCTTCTTTGTTGGAACACCTGTGAGGAAGACTACCCAAGGATGCATCGTACAAAGCAAGGCTGGGCCTATTCTTATGGAGCTGGATACAGCTCATTGCATCGGTAAAACGAAACGATTCCGTGTACCGCGTACACTACTACTACTTTTACATAACATGTTTCCGTGATTTCTGGTGTGGTGTTCGAGAACATGAAGGGCAGCCATCACACTTTCCAGCGGATTAGAAACCGACACTTAATTTTTTAAAAATATCTCTAGATAACATAAAGCAAAATTTCCACATCTTGAGTGTGGTCAAGGTATCGTAGACGCATTGTTGCTTGACGGAAAGAGGATCCTTCAGCGTAGCTGACTCATTAATTCATTCGCTCACATAAACATACAGGTCGTGCTTGTGTATCGATGCTTTCGATTTTTTAAAAGGCCCCAACCATATCCAAATCTTGAGTCGCAAGAATATCGTAGACACAGTCCTTGATGGAAAGCGGATCGTTCAAACTACTAGCGCACACGCTTTCAGCTCGTTCCACGGAGATGGCGGATTCTGATAATCGACGCTTGCGTTCTCCTCTTGGATCCTCTGGCTGAATGCACAGCTCTGGGAACTGAGGATGAGTCATCTGACGGAAGAGCTTGGGGTCGGCTGGAAGAACCTGCCATTCGTTACCAAGATTGACAAAGTCGTCCAAAACGGTGACACCATCACGAGCCAAGGTCTTTCCAGTCGTGTAGTCACCCAAGAGACCAACAGTTCTTCCAAAGGCTTCTTGGTTACCATTGAACTTGACACGGATAAACTCCTTGTACAATTGAACGGTAATGTCAAGTCCAGGATGCTTGGAACTCAAATCGATCTTGTATTCGTGTTTGTTGATGGAATGTCCAACCTCTCTTTGGGTGACAGGGAATCCACCCACAGTATCCAGTTCACCTTGGTATTCGTAGTTGATCCAGTAATGAGGTTGTTCATCATCCATGTCCGCGGACCCTTGAATCTCGAGCACATCGTTGCCAATGCGAATGGCAACAGTTTGAATGTACGACCAGAATCGAACGATCTTGGTACGAATGTGAACGTCCAATCCAAGACCATTTGCAAATTGAGGATCCTTCATCATGACAAGATCGCACTGTCCATGGTATTCGTAGTGTTCATTGTTCCATGTCGTGACTGAATTGTAAAGGAGAGAGAGAGAGAGAGAGACAGTATGCATCGAGTGAGCCTTTGTGCTTCGGAAGATGATGATGGATTCCAAGTTGCTGGTATACTTACTGTGAGGATCACCACCGATTTCACTCTGTGTGGTTTTGCTTGAAGTTGTGGGCCCCTTGGAAGGCGCGGATGTGGGCCCAGAAGTTGGACCGGATGTTGGGGCAGATGTGGGTGCCGAGGTTGGACCTGATGTAGGAGCAGATGTTGGCCCAGAAGTGGGAACAGAAGTGGGAACAGAAGTGGGAACAGATGTAGGTCCAGAGGTTGGCCCAGAAGTGGGAACAGATGTAGGTCCCGAAGTGGGTGCCGAAGTTGGCCCTGATGTAGGTCCAGAAGTAGGTAAAGAGGTAGGCCCCGAGGTTGGTCCAGATGTGGGAGGAGTAGTTGGAGAAGGGGTAATGCTCGCAATCTCTTGTACCTTAATCTCAACGAAAGCCTTGGTGAAGGAATCCACAAGGACAGCACTGTTGTCTCGAAGACTATTGATATTCCACGAAGCACCTGGAGTGTCAACAATCAGGGGAAGATAATGCGCATTGGTGTGAACACCAATGCTGTCTTCATTGAGAACAAAGCTAGTAAAGAGTTGGTTGTTTCGTTCATAGGATGTGTACCCTCCTGAACCATCAGCTCTGAAAACCACATTGTCGTTGGTTGCTCCATTGGTGACAATCTTAATACCGACATTCGCACGATCATTTGCAATGGTGGCATCCACAATGACGTTGAGAATGTAACCCCTGTCTGCCAGATCTCTTTTCATGGCGGGCACTGTTCTGGAAAAGTAGTAGTCGGAATCACGATCCTATGTTGGGACAGAAAAGAGATGGAATGGATGGAGCAGCGTGTCAGCACAACATCAACAGCAACGAGATAAGCACAATAGGACTATCCAATACATATACATATATATACTACGAACCTCATCGGATACCAAAATCATATTCCTGTCAAGACTTTGACATTCAGCGTTCAGGTCAACGCCATCAATGTATCGATTGACATTGTCCATAGCCTTAGTCATGGCGTAATATCCTTCTTCCCAACCTCCATAGTTTACCCAGCTACTGACGATTGTGCTGTTAAGCAACCCACCAGATCCATCGGTATTAACGATGCCCTTGGAACAACCCAAGAAGCGGTAATCATGCCAATCCGAAAAGGACGTGTCCCAATACCCAAATCCATTCGAGCACACAAAGACGTCATCGTATTGATACTCGTCAGAGTAAAGTGTCTTGATAATGTCTGGAAGCGCTCGTTGTTGCATAAACGCTTGTTCGTTGAACATGCTTCCCGATTCATCCATTGCGATATTAATCATGGCACACTTTTTTGTGGCAGTTGGAGGGGTAGGTAAGTCATAATCATATGGGATATCGGGTCCATCTAGGTTGTTTAAAGACGTAGGAAGATTTGCTACAGCACCCTGAGCAGACAGGACGAGGGAGAGGAGTCCAAGCTTCATCATTTTCAACCTAAAGAATGAATGAATGAATGAACGAATGAGCGAATGATGATGACTGTTTCACCTTCACTTCTTTTTTGACGAATTGTGGGGTGAGGCATCACTCTATAGGTACCGGTATAAATCTTTACCCAACTAGCATCAATTATTCGGACTGCAAAATTTCATGAGGAAAAGGATCTTTTCTGTAGTTTTGCTACTTAATGTAGAGAGCGCGCGGATCCTTCTTCGTGACTCGTATATATGCCCTTTCCGATCGGAATGCTTAAAGAACTTCATATCAAGAGCAGATTGCTTATTTGCCACTGTGTCGCAATCTTATTCGTAGAAACAAAATTAATGTAACGAAGGAGAACTCTAATCTTCGCACGACTATTTTATCCTGACAAATTTGGTGTTTCCGTTCAAATTTTTTGAAAAAAGATCCCAAAGTCGAATGGGGGTCAAAATGTCTTCCTGCACGCATGTGCAACTACTGTAACTGACGAGCCACCCGATCGCTATCGATATCATTGTTTCATCCGCAATGATGATCGAAGTATTAAAATACTTTAACTGATGATCAAGTAGATGACAATAATACCAAGGACTTAAAAGCACCTTCAATATGACCAGGAAATAAGCTCGTTGAGGATTGTTTCGCTGAACAGCTTCAGTCAGCCAAATTCAGTCGTGGGGGCTGAGATGGAAAAATGATTCCGTGTTTGTTTCCACGATGGTTTTGATGGTGATGTTGATGTTGATGATGATGATGATGAAGATTTCGTGCTCGGAGTGCTGCAAACACGCACAAACTGGTACCGGAAACCGTTTCAACTTTGCAGCAAACATCGTGAAAATCTTATCATTTCACTGGCGAGACTTTACTTCACTTGTCTCACTTTTACTTTACTTGGCTCATTTGCTGACATTGACAAGACAGAACAAACATGATGTGCCTACTCAACAACACCAACAACATCATTGCGAAACTAGCGTTGACTCTGATTGTCATGCTACTCGCCGTTGCGCCTATCATTCTCCAACAGCTCGTTCATCGAGCCCAGATTGTGATTGCGCCAGTCCGCGATGTCATCCACAACGAAATCGCCACTCTTTCAACCACCATTTTTACCACCATTGCAGCCATCACCGATGCTATTCAAACTATCGTCAACAGAGCTTTTGCATCCGAAGGCGATGCTTTTACCATCATCAACAACATCAACAACAACAACACATTTCTGGCTGTACCTATCAACGAAACTTACCTACAGCTCATCCTCAGAGCTCGTCCACGACACTGGATCCTCAGATCTCCTCAGAAGATCATTTTCTGGACCCCGCGACACTTGATCCCAACCTCCGCCTGTGCCACCATCATTGCAGCCCTTTCTATCATTGATGCTATCCAAACGGTCGCCAACAAAGCTTTGAAATCTTACAGCACTGCTGTTTTCAACAACAACAAATTTCTGGCTCTTCCCGTCAGCGAAACGTTCCTACAACTCATCCCAAGAGCTCCACGACACTTAGTAATCAGAGCTTCACGCGAGATTATTGTCTGGACTCCGGCACGACGCTTGATCCGAACCTCTTTCCGTGCCACCATTAGCACAGCCTTTCTACAGACCATCATCGATGCTATCCAAGCGATGATCAACACAGTTTTGGAATCTGACAGCATTGCTCTTTTCAACAATAAGAAATTCCTGGCTCTTCCCCTCAGCGAAACTTTCCTACAGCTCGTCCCCAGAGCACCACGACACTTGGTCCTCAGAGCTTCACGCGAGATCATTGTTTGGACTCCAGCACGAAACCTGATCCGACCCGCTGACCCTGCCATGGTCATCGTACGCATTATTGAGCTCACACAAGAGCTTGTCAACACAACTACCATTGGAGCAGCTAAACCATTCGCATTGACTTCTTTGCCAACACCTGTTCCACAAGGCTGGGTACAACACTACTTTAGCCTTGGCGCAATCATGCCATTGGTGCCACCACCCACTTTTTGTTCCAATCGAAATTTCGTGAGCTCATTGGTCAACATCATGATCTTTGACCACCACGAAGACAACAAGCAGAACGAAGCAGCAGCGAATCCCATCGCCACCACTGAATCGACTGATAGTCCCATTGTTCGTTCCTCGTCGGATATGTTGGCCAACATTGCAATTGCAGCCGACAAGGAAGAGAACAACTTGGACGATGACGAAGATGATGTGGGACACGTGGATGCTACTGCTGCTACTACTGCTACTGTTCCTGTAGTGCCTTCTATCACTACAAAGGAGCCTGAATCGTTTGTGGTCTCAAGCAAGCTTCCATTTTGGATGTCCAAACGTTTCATTGCACGAGCTGCCGACAAGAAAGTCAAGGGACGTCGTCGAGGACAATTTAAACAGTGCCTTGGAGCACAAAAGAAGGCCAAAATTCAGCAACAACGTCAAGATGCGAAACAACAAGAACGAATGGATGGTGGACAAGAGGATATGGAAATCGACCACGAGGAAGATGAGATGAAAATGGAAATCGACCATGAGCGATCTACTACTACCGACACCTGCTGCAGTATTACCGCTTCGAATTTCAAGAGACGTCGTGGAGAATTCAAAGAGCGCGTTGTAGCACAAAACAAGGCCGGTCGACGCAAGATTGACCAACAACTTCGAAACGCGAAGAGACAAGAACGTTTGCGACAAAAAAGAAGAATGGATGAAATGATGAAAATCGATTATGATTGGATGGAATTGGATGGAGACACTATCATGAATGGTCCATAGATGGGTTGTTCCGTTAACGTCATGCTGCTATCAGGTTGCACTCGCAGCCATTTTTAGTGGGCGACTCTCAACAGTCGTGAGACGCCCTCGACAAGCAGATACAATGAGAACGTACAATTAGAAGAAGAGCCCGAATCCAGTTCCGGATCTTCGAATTCCACTACAGGTCGCCAGACCACGAGTACAAGGAAGAAATTTCCACAAATATACAGCCGACAATGGTTGAGACTGCAACAAAAAGAATGCGATATGCATCGAACACCGAACACTACAATCAAGTAGGAATACACGGAAGAAATTTCCACAAATATACAGCCGCCATTGGTCGAGACTGAATCCAAAAATCCCAAAAAAAAGAGATGTGCATCGATACACCACAATCAAGTGGAATGAAACCAAATTCAAAAATCACAGAAAATATATATTATGATAGACGCAAATATAACCGTCCACAAACGTCAAATGACGATGAAAATTGTTGATCTATTGTCATCTTTACCATACCCAAATATTGTCGCGTTTGTTTGCTTGTGTTTGCGCCGCCATCTATCAAGGTTTCTTTTTACAAGTATGGTCTTGCTCATCTGCTCCCTCGCTCTCTTTTGTTCCTCCCAAAGGATCTCCAAAAATCTAGAGAGAGCATCAGTATCGGTGTGTGAATAATAATGTGTTGTTGTGTAGTAGCTAACCATATTTGGCTGTGTTTTGAGTAGTTTTCTGACGTTCAAAGTGAGTGATGTTTGATTGATTGGACCAATAATGAATGAATGTGGACGACCATCAACAACTTCTTTACGACAAAGCTTCCAAGTCCTTGGTGAGCTTGGCTGCAACCTTTTCCATCGCCACAACATCCCTGGCCATCTTCTTAACCGTCACATCTGCAACCGTCTTGGCAACATAGAGAGACTCGAATTCGTCAAACTTGGACTTGGACTTGGGCAACTTGGCTTCCGAAAATGCGAGCAAGGCAGCCGAATTGTAGGGAATGGAAACATCAATGGCTTCGGGTTCGGCAACCCCTGCTTTTCCACTGGCAACACCAGAGGTATCCTTGTTGTTGTTTTCCAAGAAAGCCGCTGCCGCTGCAGCCACTGCTGCCACCGCACCTCCTGCAGCAAGCATCAATGGATCACCTCCTTGGAGGATGGCGGTTGGGTCCAACATGGCAGCGTCTTTCAAGGCAGAATTTGGTCTAATGGCAGAGGTTCCTACTACTGTACCTGTTGAGGAGAAGGCTTCCGATTTTCCAATGAGGGAGGCGGATATCAGGAGTGATATATTCTTCATGTTGAGAGATGTGGGTGGTGTTAAATTATTATTCTTGTCGCAATAACATATCCAGAAGTGGATCTTGGACTAGAATGTGAAGTTGAAGCGAAAGGTATCTTCACGTACGTACAGTACTGGCCCAACCGTGAGAATAATACAATGACGTTGCAGAAGATACTTGCAAAGTGCCACCGAAAGTCGAAGAGGTCAAGCATTTTGTATTGTATCATATTATTGTACAGTGCCGGTATGTATGTACCAGTGCATGTTCCGGTATCTTTATGCGTCTGATCGGACTGCAGATTAGAATTGTGATGATATGATTGTAACTATAATACACCAATTGATAAATGTTACTCTATACAGTCCCGCTTGTTGTTTTAGCTCATGTAAGCTCCAGATCCGTCAGATTGTCTGGTTCGGAGTCGTCCAAGACTGGATCCGTTCTTGGGGTCCCTGGTATTCCTCCTTCAGCTTTATTTTCACCTTCCTCCTCTTTACTGCGGTAAACTATTGTTCCATCTTCCATTCGTTCTAATCCCACCTTCTTTCCAATATTCTCATTACCGACACCCCTCGAAGAACTGGCAATGCTGCAAACAAGGCAAAAGAATATTCCAAAGGAAATTGCCACAATCGATATCAGCATGGCCTTTCCAGTATCTGCTTCTTCCCTCTCCCCTTCCCACCGAAATACACAAAGAGGACCATAAAATTCTTTGGTGCACTGGCATTCGTACGCCCCAGTTGAGTATTCAGTATTACAGCTCCCGCCATTGTGACAGGGACATTTCTCTTGACAGTGATACCCATAATGATCGGATGGACACTCGCAGATTCCTTGGCTCTGAATCCCAGCCGAGGATATGGATAGAAACTTGCAAGTCCCGCCATTTTGGCAATCCGCATTTGCCACACAATCCAAGGCTGTAGCAATCTTGGGGGTTTCGCAATAGGGCCCCGTGTAGTTTTGCGTACAGATGCACTTGGAGTCGTAAACATGAGACTGCTGATTGGAAACATCGTCACAGTAACCATCGTGTAAGCAATCACGATTGGCTTTGCAGACACCATCCAGTGCTTCTGAACAATAGGTGGAAAGAATCAGCAGCAACATCGGAAGGCGACAGCAGAAGAAGGATTCCCTTATTGGTATCCTTCTCCTTATTGTAGATTGATGTGTCGTATTCATGTTGGCAACTCTATAATAATAAGGGAGCTGCGATGAACTCGAAAAGTCCAGAGCGCTTAGACTAATCACTCAATCAGGACAAGGATTTTCAGAACCAATAAGGTATTCTCCTTGCAGTTGTCGGAATTTTATAGGGTGGATGATGAGCGACTGCGTGATGCGCTTTTACAGGTTTTGGACATCGCCGGTTTTCAAAATGAAGCATATATATCGTGCTTGAAAAAGCATGTGCAAACCAGAGAGAAATTTCCTAGCTACTTATTTATTTAGGAGCATATCTTGGTTTGTTGTTCCCAAGGTTGCAGTTGGTCGCAGCAAGATTCATGGTGTTTGAAAAGAGATGATATTTTATACATTTTATAAAATGTACTGGGTACAGTACCTGGTAGGGTCTGCAAACGGTGCGAAAAGCAGACATGGTCAATTGAGTCGGCCGAAAAAGGAACATGAATTTATGTGGTAAACTGCGACATGGTGCGACACGGAGCTACACGAAAATGTATACTAAATAAATAGCTTAATTGTTGACACCCGAACACCAAACCGGGTTAGGGTTAGGGTGTCCAGTAGTATAGGACTAGCCCAAACATCACCCATCCATTTGCCAATAACTCTCCAACTTCAGCCACAAAGCTTCGATCAAAAGACACTACTATCACCTTGACAATGCAAAATCAGCAGAGGGTTTGACTATTGCAGGGGCAATCTATGCGACAAACTATGGCATTAGCTCCAACTGTAGCAAAGTACAATCAATCAATTGATAGTCGTCACAACCTGTCCACCAAGAACCATAATCCCCTTTCCGTTCTTCGACCCATTACATTTCCCGTTGTTGCCCCGAAGTAGCACCGCGACGAGCTCCATCCCCAGGAAGATCCATTCGCTGACGCTTCCCCCCAATTGCTACTGTCGTTGTATATTCCCCTTCTATATTCATTATCATGAATCACCCGAAGCAAAAGCAACAATAGCAGGTTATCTTGTTGCTGTTGCAATCAGCCTTGAAGCGCAGTTGTAGTTGACCCCCGCCTGCATCGCACAAAGCATTCAAGTTTCCCTCTAACAAGATATTTCCATTCGCGTCGACATTGGATTCTAGATTCAGCCATCTCAGACCCGTCAAACTGGAAAGATTGTTTGGAATCGTTCCCGAGAACATGTTCTCATCTGTAGTAATAGCAGTAGCGAAAGTCGAGACACAACATTTATGAGCATGGCGCTTCCAATAGTATTCTCTAGTTCAAAATGAATCAAGGAAGGACTTACCCAGTCGCAATTCTTCTAACGTCGTCAATTGATTCACCTCGGCTGGAATGCTTGAATCAAATTCATTATTACCTGTTGTTTCGAAATGTTGTGACAAGAAGCATGATGTGAGGAAATAGGCGTGGTCGCCATATCGTTCACTATCCAACAAACTATAGAACTTACTCAATACTAGATTTTGCAAGGTCCCTAATCGGCCAATATCGTCGGGTATAGTACCTGTAAAGCTGTTGTTATCTGAATAATCTTTGACTTAGCGACAATCTTCAACATGCGGATCCATAAATATGCGACGTGCGGTCACCACATACCTAATTGTAACGTCCGTAGTATGGTCAAATTTCCCACTTCAGATGGTAGGGTCCCATCCAAATGGTTGTCTCCTGTGTTGCATAGTGATTAGAAACGGAAACAAGAAGTTTTGTCAGTGATGGATTGATGGCAAAGATACAAAAGATACCAACAATAGTAGCCAATACAAATACGTACGGAGACTAAGAATTGTCAGCTTGGTGAGTTTCCCCACTTCGCTAGGGAGGGTACCTTGTAGATTTTGAGTCGATGCTATCAATGACGAGATCCAGAAAGAGTGTAGGATGAGCAGCCGACCAAGAAGAACATGGGAGATCATTCTTCGCAACTTACAAATCTTGAGGAACTCCAAGTTTTCCAGTCTTCCGACTTCCATCGGAATTGTGAAACCATGACCATTCCAGGATGCTAATAAATCATTGATGAAGGGCATGGAAGAAGCGTAATTGTAAAAGTCAGATGGACTACAACGCACATAATTGTTTCGATGAAAGACACCCAAGGCGGTACTCACCTAGACTCAGAATCTGCAAATTCGAAAGCAATCCAATTTCCGGTGGAAATTCTTCGCCAACATACAGGTTTCCTTTTGTAAAAAAGAGCAACAAAGAGTGCGCTAAATGAGTACATGCCGTAATGCACAACTCCGCGCAGAAAGCCTCTCGCCCAACCATGTGATACTTACGAAGACTCAATTCGCGAATCAGACCCCCATTGTCACAAAATACCCCAATCCCCAGAGGTGTTCTCCAATCACACACTGAACTTTCTTTCCATTCTTCTCTCCAATTGTCTGGCCATGGATATCCATCTTGCGTTCCAAAGAGTATCGTAATCACAATGTAGCGCTCAAACAAGAATAACGGAGATAATTGTGGAAACGAGCAACAATTGGAACCGCTTCGAGTGACCCAATTATATGCCTGAACTTGTGGCGAATCGTCATCCAGACTCGATAGGTAGCCTTGTCGGCGGTTGCTCTGTACTGAACTTCGAAAGTCACCAAAGTAAGATGCATACGATGGAATTGGATCCCTCTGTGTTACCGTGGGTGCTACTGATGGCATTCGAGAAGGCATGAATGTAGGAGCAATCGAGCGGGGAATTGTGGGTGCCGATGTGGGAGGCTCAAGGGAATCCTCTATGGCCAAGGCCACAACAGCAATCAGCACAGCAAACATAATCAATACCACAATGGCCAGTACCATTGCCACTTTTTCGTTCATCCACTCGGTGGGGGGCACCGGCGTTGACTCAGAGAAAGCTTCACTCGGTGTATCTTTGTCATCAGCACCCTCAATATCCCCTGCCATGTTTACACTTCTCGATTTCTTGCCAAACTTCGGAAGCCATTCTTTTTTCTCTTTAGGTGTTTTTGGGGTAGGTTGGTAGTATCCTTGTCGTCCATCTGGGACAGAGTCATCTTCAGAGGAGCTCTCGTCGGATTTAGCTCCTTCAGAAGGTGCATGATATCCGGACTTGGGAGGAGGTGGAACCGAGGAGTCTTCACTGTCAAAGGAACTGTGGGATTTGTTCGATTTGGATGATTTCATCTTCTTAGATAGCATTCCGGTTAGGCCAGCTAGGCCTCCAGGTGATTTCCTGCGAGCGGGGGCCTCATCATTATATGGGACTTCTTTTTCATCGCCACTGACACTCATAGTAGATGATTGCTTGTTCGCTTATCCTTTCTCTCGATATCGTTTGGGTAAAAAAAAAAGAGTTCCGCTGATGTGTCATCAACTGAATTTATACTCTCTAGGCTTCTTCTAATGCTTTGATAAACAAAGTTCACGTTGAGCTGGTTGACAGCACAGTGAGTTGTTGTCTAAGATTACTGCCTCTGCTTCTTCTAGGATGCCACAAGAGAGTTTCAAGTTGCGCCGATCACGAGACTGAGTTGGAAGCTCATCTTCCATGGAAGCGGTCTTGTTTGCGGAAGCTAGAAATGATTAAAATGTCGCATCGGACAACAAAATTGGCAACATTCTCGCGGAAAATACCTGCAACACGTGCAAAAGCAAAGAACAAGATATTTTTGGTGGCGCAATTTCTCGGAAGTGGTTCGATTGAATCGCGGAATACTTACAAAATCTTGTACGCTGTACAAGTTGTAATTGTTCGTATAGTTGTTATCAATACTAGCTCGTTCACAAACGAAAAAGAAGATACTAGTGAACGTATCATATATGCATATCATAATTCTACATAAATGTTCAATAGTTATGTAATCTACCTAAAAACATCAGCACAAGGTGGGTATTCGATGCTTCCTTTCATGTCACCTTCTTTTACGACGATACTCCAAATGGCAGCGGGAGTATCATGCGTCAAGTGGAGCACCAAAACACTGGTGTCCTCCTCTTCCTCTATATCGTCTTCCCGGTCCTCGTCTTCTTCCTCTTGATCTTCGTCTTCTCCTTCCCGGTCCTCGTCTTCTTCCTCTTGATCTTCGTCTTCTTCCTCTTCCCGGTCCTCGTCTTCTGCTTCCTCGTCTTCTTCTTCATTCAATTGGACATTATTCTCCTCTCCTTCTTCCTCCTGGTCGTCATCTTGCCAACGAGGATCGTCATCCGTTCCTTGGACATCATCATCTTGCCAACGAGGATCGTCATCCGTTCCTTGGACATCGTCGTCTCGCCACCGAGGATCGTCATCAGTTCCTTGGACATCATCATCTCTCCATCGAGGATCGTCATCAGTTCCTTGGACATCATCATCTCTCCATCGAGGATCGTCGTCTGTTGTCTGGATGCGGCGACGGCGAAGGTTGTTCTTTGGGTTTGAAGAAGATGATCGTTCGATCGCTGTGGCTCGTCTCGGACGCTCGATTCGTTGAAACGCCAGTCCTTCCCATTGCTTTCCACTGCTGTTTGGAACTCCCGGCAATGGCCATTCAGCTCGGAAGGTTCCTGTCTCCATGTCCCAAGCTCGGACGACCTTGCCTTTTTCGTGCAAGACGTACAAGACTCCTTCGAAGTAGGTCATGGCTCCAATCTTTGGGTCCTCCATATCCGCGTCAATGAGTTTCTCGTTCAGATTGCGGCTCGCTTCCAACGTTGGTGTCGTGGGCACAAAAGTACTATTGTCATTCAGACTGATGGGCGCTCCATTGGGTTCGGGAACATCGAAACGTTTAATGACCGCACTTAGTGGTCCCTCTCCGATTTGACCAGAGACAAGCAAGGAGGAGGACCTGCCTTTGGAAACCAGGGCCATACCTTCAGGCTCGGGTGTCTCCAGCTTCCATTGACCAGTGACTTCAAAGCGTCCAAAATCTCCGCGTTCAAACGAGTACATTTGTGGAGACTGCTCAAGGGTTGTAATATCGATTTCAGAAACGGCGTACAGTGTGTCATCATCGACCAGAGTAGCCGATCCAAAGTCAGCTAGTTCCACCTGTGCCACAATGCTGGAGGAAACATTTGGGATCTCGAGAACCCCTTCACTGTTCCATTCAGGAAGAGGAAAACCATAAATCTCCGAGAGAGATGGAACCAACAATTGGTTGCGCTGTAGATCCACAAGTGCATCACTAGGCTCGAATTCCAATGGCGAAAATGAACTAATATCATGTTCCATACACATCCCAGGATCCGCTTGAACGAAGCGAACTTTGTTCCTCGCTTCCTCCACGCTTCGCTCTAATTCTTCCTGGAATTCGACCAAACGAATCTGACGCAAAATTACCCAGGTCCCAGCTATGGCTGCACTAGTCAAAACAAAGGGTCCAAAATGACTGATGTATCCGTTGGGCCGAGCGTTGGTCAAGAGCCAAAGGCGAGAGTAATAGAGTCCCACCGCGTATATCGCAATGATCAAGGCAAAGATCAAAAGAGTTGTGGCCGTCAGCTTGGCATAGCCTTCTCCATTTTCAGCCTCGAGCAAAATTGCAGAAGTAGTCACCAAGAACAAGGCGGCACTGACCCACTGAATGAAGGTTCGCTCGTTTGCAAAATAGGTCTTGGGCTCGATTCGGACTGCCTTCTTCGGCGCCACAAAAGCATTTCCTCGTACTCTTTGCGGCAAGAAAGACAAGAACTTTTTGCTCGACTTGCGATCTCCAGGCAACCCTGCTTCGTCCGAGGAACCCGTTGCCGTGAGACTAATCTCTCCATCATTATTGTATGGGACATCACGAACAGAAGATAGTTTCGATGACGACAATGCCGATGCTTGGTAGAAGAAGGTCTGAAAGGCAGGATGGTCCGCCCAATAGGGCAAGTGATTCACAGTGTTGAAGGTTGCCGCACCCGTCAAGAACTTGGAAAACTTGGCAGCATCCAAAATGGTTCCATTGTCGATGCATTCATTCAAAGCAGTAGACTCTTGACCCTCGCCCAATTTGATCTCAAAGACTGCAAAAGGGATGGTCCTTCTGTCGGACCCATCTGGCTTGGATTCGTAGGGCTCAAAAGGAACATACCATTGTTCCCCTTGCTTGCATCCTCGTTCATCACTGACGACAACCTTGCGGTCCAAAGTAAGACGAAGGGAGTTGCTCTTGGAGGATTGAAAGGCCAATCGATCATAGGTTGACCGAACACATGGGCGCAACTTGTGACGGACCACCAAGGTATGGCTCCGAATCAATAGATCAATCGCTTTGGCCAGCTTCTCGCCCTTCAACTTGGGTGTTGCCGCCAGTACCAAAGACTCGGCGTAGCCTTCCGACATGACCGAGTCCATCGAATACAAAAAGGCATTCATATCCCTCTCGAGGATGGCCACTCTTTCCTTGACCGACTTGGCGAAGATCCAGCTTTCGTGATGGGTCTTGAGCTCCAAAAAGACTGGCTGGTCGGGCTTCGGTGGCTTCTCCCCATACCATCGAGCTCGCAACAGCTGTGCTCCTTCTCTTCGCTTGATTCGCTCCTTGTACAAGGCCAGTGAAGGCGAATCGAAATAGATGGACGAGATCTTGGATGATAGGTTCTTCCACAGATCGTCCAAAGGAATATCTTCGGCTCTTGAAAGACGGCCAGTCTTTCCATACACCAAGAACGGAGCCTCACTGGCACATGTCATGAGTAGTTCTGGTAGATTCTCTTCGGGTACCCAATACTTTGTGGTCTTTCGCTCAAAGGAATCGGGTGCTACCCAGACTCCCGCCTTTCCCGATGCGCTTGCCGCTTCTTTGAGGTCTCGAAGTGCTTCAAAGACGTCACTGAAAAGGACCACAATCTTGGTGAACGAGGATTGAGCCCATGGTTCGAACAAGAGGCGTTCTTGCACCGTCTTTTCGAATGTGATATCAGTAGAAATCTTGGTATCCGCAAGCCGAGATACATCAAGCAGCATTTGCCCAAATCTCTTAGCATTAGCCGAGAGAAGCTTGCTGTTATGCACTTGGGCTTGAGCCGCTTGGCGAAAATCAGCTTCTTGCTGTGGAGACTGATGTTCGGGCACGGAGATGGTGAGCTCAATGCTTCTCAACAAGGAGGAGGCGTACTGTTCATGATGCGCAATTTCCTCCGAGATGGCTCGTTCCACGAATTGCAAAGCGTTAGCAAATACTTGGCAGAATTGCTCCTGCTTCTCTGGACCTTGGGTTGCCATATCATGAAGCGCTTGTTCCAAAGATTTACGGAGATCTTTGGGACCTTCCATGACAGCAATCCTCATGCTTGGTGTTTTTGATGATGTGGAAGAAGTTGTACGTGTACTGAAATCAGAGTTGCCTTTTGGTAAAATCTTGTGTCACACGGGTATAGGTGAACCCAGCAAATTGTGATGAGAAATCGGTGAATCGCGTAGACTATACACGATTCCTTTTCATGTGTATTGGGTATGCAAGGTGCTAGTGAGAAGGTTGCGATCTTTGTTGATGACTCCTATCCTCTGTTTGTGAACACGGAAGAGAAGTTTGCTCCTTTCATCTTCAGCGTCCATTTTTCTAGTGAAGTCTGGATGACATCACTCAAACCCACGCGGCCATTAAATGCAACTTCAGATGCAACATGAATTTCGGAGGATCAATTTGCCCGACCAGCACACAAATATGGCATTAAAACAGCTAATGTTCGAGTGATTCTCGTGCTATCAAGATTTGAAAAGATTTGACACGACAGAAAAAGATTTTGAATGGTCTTGGCGCTGAGCAGAGAAACCCAGTACACACGAAACGGCAACTGACATCACTTTTTCACACGCACAGAGAGTTCCAAAACACAGAAAGACACAAAATCGCACAAGCAACCAAAGCATCTCTTTCTCACAATAGATAGCATCTATCATCATGGACACCATCCGAAAAAGAACCAAGGCTGCTTGGACGGCTCCAAAGAATGCCGTTCGAGTGGAGCCAAAGACGTACTTTGCCAATGAACGTACTTTTATCCAGTGGGTGAGCGCTGCACTGTTCTTGGTAACTACTTCGGCACTCTTGCTCGAGTTTGAAAATGGAGAAGGCTATGCCAAGTCCACTGCCATCACTCTGTTGGTATTTGCCTTGATCATTGCTGTGTATTCACTTGGGCTCTACTATTTGCGCATTTGGCTCATGAAACATGGGCGTCCCTATGGATACACAAGCCATTTTGGGCCCATTGTGTTGTCTGGTGCAGCCATTGCTGGAACATGGATCATTCTCAGCAGGCTCCGACAACTGGAACTTGCTGATTTGGCAGCACGGAATAATGGAGACGCCGAGCCGGAAGTGCTGGCCTTTCGACCCGAGGCCGGGGTATGCATGGAACATGATGTGAGCTCCTTTTCTCCTCTTGAGTTTGAACCTAGCGATGCTTTGATCGATGAAGACCGCAACTTGCTGTTGGTTCCGACTCTTTCCGAGATTTACGGCTTTCCGCTACCTGAATGGAACAACCAAGGTCAACTGGCTATTCCAGAGGGTTCTTCCGCCACGGTTGTGGCTCGGGTAGAACGGGGTGACTTCGAATCGGCTACTTTTGTGGACGCTAATACCTTGTATGCTGTTTCTGAGGTGGCAACTGCAACACCGGACATGGCTGCGGTCGTGTACTCGTTTCAGCGTAATCTGCTGGGAAACTTTGAGATTTCCGGGCAATGGAAGCTGGCCACTCCAGAACCGGAAGGGATGGCCTTTGTTCAACAAGGAGGCACCTCTTCACTCTACATTTCTGGACTCCAAGGGACGACTAATGCACCCAGTGCCACTATCCAAAAGTTCTCAGTGCCAGAACCAAACGGATTGACCCAGGCCGTCCAGGGTTCCAGGCCAGCTCTACGAGCATCGCGTCTCCTCAACACAAAGCTATTGGACGAGGATATGGAGGATCCAAAGATTGGAGCCATGCACTACTTTGAAGGTATTCTATACGTTCTTCATGACAACGCCCGAGTTGTCCGAGCTTGGGACATTGCAACCGGTACTTTCCAAGCCGAGTGGCAACTACCAAACGTTCCCAACAGCAATGGCATGCAGTGGGAAGGCATGTCCTTGCAGCGGGTTCAGCGCTCTTCATCTGCTCTTCGCGGATCGGATGGGGACAGCATCCTTCTCCTGCATCTCACTCACGACACTCCAGCGGCGATTTGGAGTATTGTTGTCGAGGAAGGCAGCGTCCGAGGAAGTATTGTCTTTCCGGAATGTGCAGGCGTAACAGTGTTGGAATAGAATGATTTATAACAGTAGAGTACATATTACATAAAACACTTGGCATGTAACATATGGAATACAACTACTTCGTATTAGCCGATGCGAGATCTCATGCTCACTGATTTGAAGAGAAGTACTCGGAAGCACTTGGTAGATTGGCTCAGGTAGAATACAATAGATAAGCATTCGATTACAAAATTCAATCAAATGCGAAGCCAGTGTAGACTATAACTGTCATGCATCATGGTTTTGGTTTTGACGATCGTCGTTTATGCAATGTACTGAATAATATTATAGGTTCACCTATATACTTTAATTCCAAATCCACGCCAAACATCACGCCAAAATACCGGGTATCGTACCTGTATACCTGGAACGGTCATAGCACCACATCACTGTTGCCGGATCATTGAAAAATGGTCACCCATAGAATGTTGATAGAATGAAAGTTGGATAGATGTCACTAGCTCGCTTTCGAATTGCCAATACGCGAAGAAACGTAGCTTATGTTTTCAAATTCGAGATAGATGTTCAATAGTTATGCAATCTACCTAAAAACATCAGCACATGGTGGGTATTCGATGCTTCCTTTCATGTCACCTTCTTTGACGACAATACTCCAAATGGCAGCGGGCGTGTCATGCGTCAAGTGGAGGACCAAAACGCTGGTGTCAACTTCGTCCTCTTCCTGGTCGTCGTCATCGGTTCCTTGCATATCATCATCTCTCCATCGAGGATCGTCGTCTGTTGTCTGGATGCGGCGACGGCGAAGGTTGTTCTTTGGGTTTGAAGAAGATGATCGTTCGATTAATGTGGCTCGTCTCGGACGCTCGACTCGTTGAAACGCCAGTCCTTCCCATTGCTTTCCACTGCTGTTTGGAATTCCTGGCAATGCCCACTCGGCTTGGAAGGACCCTGTCTCCATGTCCCAAGCTCGGACGACCTTGCCTTTTTCGTGCAAGACGTACAAGACTCCTTCGAAGTAGGTCATGGCTCCGATCTTTGGGTCCTCCATATTAGCGTCAATGAGTTTCTCGTTCAGATTGCGGCTCGCTTCCAACGTTGGTGTCGTGGGTAAACCAACAGTGGCATTTCGGTTGATCGGCGTTCCATTGGGTTCAGGAACATCGAAATGATTAATGACCGCACTTAGTGGTCCCTCTCCGATTTGACCAGAAACCAACAAGTAGGAGGACCTGCCTTCGGAAACCCTGACCATACCTTCAGGTTCGGGTGTCTCCAGCTTCCATTGACCAGTGACTTCAAAGCGTCCAAAATCTCCGCGTTCAAACGAGTACATTTGTGGAGACTGCTCAAGGGTTGTAATATCGATTTCAGAAACGGCGTACAGTGTGTCATCATCGACCAGAGTAGCCGATCCAAAGTCAGCTAGTTCCACCTGTGCCACAATGCTGGAGGAAACATTTGGGATCTCGAGAACCCCTTCACTGTTCCATTCAGGAAGAGGAAAACCATAAATCTCCGAGAGAGATGGAACCAACAATTGGTTGCGCTGTAGATCCACAAGTGCATCACTAGGCTCGAATTCCAATGGCGAAAATGAACTAATATCATGTTCCATACACATCCCAGGATCCGCTTGAACGAAGCGAACTTTGTTCCTCGCTTCCTCCACACTTCGCTCTAATTCTTCCTGGAATTCGACCAAACGAATCTGACGCAAAATTACCCAGGTCCCAGCTATGGCTGCACTAGTCAAAACAAAGGGTCCAAAATGACTGATGTATCCGTACGGCCGAGCGTTGGTCAAGAGCCAAAGGCGAAAGTAATAGAGTCCCACCGCGTATATCGCAATGATCAAGGCAAAGATCAAAAGAGTTGTGGCCGTCAGCTTGGCATAGCCTTCTCCATTTTCAGCCTCGAGCAAAATTGCAGAAGTAGTCACCAAGAACAAGGCGGCACTGACCCACTGAATGAAGGTTCGCTCGTTTGCAAAATAGGTCTTGGGCTCGATTCGGACTGCCTTCTTCGGCGCCACAAAAGCATTTCCTCGTACTCTTTGCGGCAAGAAAGACAAGAACTTTTTGCTCGACTTGCGATCTCCAGGCAACCCTGCTTCGTCCGAGGAACCCGTTGCCGTGAGACTAATCTCTCCATCATTATTGTATGGGACATCACGAAGAGAAGATAGTTTCGATGACAATGCAAATGATTGGTAGAAGAAGGTCTGAAAGGCAGGATGGTCCGCCCAATAGGGCAAGTGATTCACAGTGTTGAAGGTTGCCGCACCCGTCAAGAACTTGGAAAACTTGGCAGCATCCAAAATGGTTCCATTGTCGATGCATTCATTCAAAGCAGTAGACTCTTGACCCTCGCCCAATTTGATCTCAAAGACTGCAAAAGGGATGGTCCTTCTGTCGGACCCATCTGGCTTGGATTCGTAGGGCTCAAAAGGAACATACCATTGTTCCCCTTGCTTGCATCCTCGTTCATCACTGACGACAACCTTGCGGTCCAAAGTAAGACGAAGGGAGTTGCTCTTGGAGGATTGAAAGGCCAATCGATCATAGGTTGACCGAACACATGGGCGCAACTTGTGACGGACCACCAAGGTATGGCTCCGAATCAATAGATCAATCGCTTTGGCCAGCTTCTCGCCCTTCAACTTGGGTGTTGCCGCCAGTACCAAAGACTCGGCGTAGCCTTCCGACATGACCGAGTCCATCGAATACAAAAAGGCATTCATATCCCTCTCGAGGATGGCCACTCTTTCCTTGACCGACTTGGCGAAGATCCAGCTTTCGTGATGGGTCTTGAGCTCCAAAAAGACTGGCTGGTCGGGCTTCGGTGGCTTCTCCCCATACCATCGAGCTCGCAACAGCTGTGCTCCTTCTCTTCGCTTGATTCGCTCCTTGTACAAGGCCAGTGAAGGCGAATCGAAATAGATGGACGAGATCTTGGATGATAGGTTCTTCCACAGATTGTCCAAAGGAATATCTTCGGCTCTTGAAAGTCGGCCAGTCTTTCCATACACCAAGAACGGAGCCTCACTGGCACATGTCATGAGTAGTTCTGGTAGATTCTC